GTGCACCCAGCTGTTTTTCACCTTTTTATATTCTTGTCTTGATTTTTTCATTTGTTCTTTTTGTTTTCTTTTTTTAATAGATAAAAACTTCCAATGCTGAAAGAATCTTTTCTTCAACCATGAACTATGTTGAATATCCGCTTTAGATTCATTGAAAGTTATAAATACACGTTCATGCAGAAATGCATAATACAACTCATTGGCCAACTTATCAATGAATTGGTTTCTTTTTTTCCTTAGAGTTTCTTCAGTAACATAATTTTGGTCAAAAGCGTTCATCGACGATTCTACCTTCTGAGTTGGTTGTGGTATTGTTTGCTTAACAATTATATCGGAGCCAGCTGCTTTTGGTGGCATGTTAAACGTTTGAGCTCCAATTGCCTTCGGCTTTGACAAATCTACATTATTAATTTCTGGTCCCTTAAAAATTGGCTGTGTTTCAGGTTTCTTTTGAGTTTCCACTTTTCCAATTCCTTTAAAGAGATTAGTTGTTTTAGGGATTTCTGGAATAGAAACTGTAGACTTGAGAACATTTTCTTCTTTGGAAGGAAAATTGGTCACTGGAGAATTCGTTTTCTTTATTTCTATAGAATTCAAATCGTCTTTTTTGTTTCTATTCAGAAATGAGATACTATCATTATTATTCTTAGGTTTCCCTATGGAATTAAAAATATTGCTTGTTGGAGTTTTAACTTCATTCGTCAACGGTACATTGTTCGCAATTTTTGCAGGTATGTTGAATGAATGAGAAATAGTTTTGGGGGGTTGTTCAAATATCTGAGGAGAAAAGCTTTTTTCCAGAGATGAAGTTGAATTGAAGTTATTTTTGAAGCTTTCTGCAGAGTCATTTCTTTTTTCGTCCAATTCAGTTGTAACGATATTAATCTCACTGACTTTTTCTTGTGGAATGTTTATATCTTTTGATTTTGTAGTTTCCTCGAATGATTCTGGGAGGGTATTAACATTTGGCCTTCCACAATTAATGAATTCTGGATATGCTTTTTCAGATAACTGATTTTCCACATATCGTAAATAACTTTGTCTGAATGGCTGCGTTTCCGCCAACTTGTGGGAATAATGAGACATGGTTTTTATCTCTACACCTTCTGGTACAATATCTATAGAGTAATATTCACAGAATTCGTTGATCTCATTATCATCATTGAATAACAGATTCTCTTTTAGATAAGAAAATGGAATCGGTTTGTGTTTCTTATTTAGAGAATGTGACAAAGCTTTAAATGCATAAAATCTAATTTCGTTGACATAAATCTCTAAAAATGAGTTCATCAAGAATGGTACTTTTCCTGATGACATCAATTGAAAGAATCTGGTATAAAAATTCAAACAATTCGGGGTTCTGATGTAACCTCTTTCTGAAAAACCTGAATTTGATATTATTTTTCTAAAACATAAGGCTAATTGAACTAACTCATTACTGAAAATATCATCGGGCAATTCTTGAATATTCTTATCATATTCAGGATCTCTTATTTTACTTAACAATGAGTATGCTCTAAACTCAGCTTCATTTGGTGAATGTCCTCCATGAGCTCTTACATCATCATAAATTTCTGATAATGTAATTAATGATTTATGTAATTGTTCCAATTCTTGCTGTAATGAATACTTTATTCCTGACTTTGCCATCACATGAATAATTAATAAGTGAATTCTTACGATACGTTCATTACAATCAACTGCTTCAGGACCTGAATAATTTTGGAAAGTAAAATCTTGCCTAATGGATCTCATTCTATCCCACAAAAACCCTTCGCTATCTGGCAAAGTATTCAATAAGTTATCCACAATATAATCTAATGTCTTGACAAGAACATGTGGAGGTCTCACATCAGAAGGTAAAGGTGGAGCAGCGGCAGCGGCAGGTCTTGCAAAAACTTTCAAAGCTTTATTTACTGACGCTTTTTTACTATTTGGATCATCTTTTTCATAAGAATAAACTGTATATTCCACATTTCTTCTAGCTCTTTCAAAAATTGGACACATATCCTGACAAGTACCTTGAAAAATGATAGCTTCTGTTAAATCTTTTGCAAAGTCAGCTTTATCTACTAGCCCTTTGTTTTCCATAATTTTACGTTCGAAATCTCTCATCTTTTTCAGTGTTTCATATAATTCAGTTAAATCATCAATTGAGTTTTCCAATTGAGACATCTTCTTTTGATTTGCTTTATCCCAAGGGTCTTGAGCAAAATTTCTTGAGGTGAATTGGGGCTGTTGTCCAATTAAGAACCTTGGGACTTCTCTAGGCTTATATTTAATTCGCTTAAAACCCATTGACTCAGGATTTGCAGCTACTGAACCTATCATTAAATCTTGATTCTGATTACTCCTAGGCATTACCTTTTTCTTTGGTTTAATATTTGAATCAGCTTTATTGAAAGCATTCGAATCACTCTTGTTGAAAGCATTTGATTTATTTAATTTGAATCCACTGGAATTGAAGTTTCTCCCCTTTGGTGGACTAATTCCAACGGTCTTGCCATGTTTTCGACGGTTTGAATCACCATTTTGGTTGTATTTTTTGGCATTTGTATCACCATTATTAGATGAGCTTAAAAAGATATTGAACCCATTAGAAGGTATGACACTTCCAAACGGAGAAGCCATTAACCACTGTATAATAAAGGTGATATGTTGGAACCTATGGACTAATAATGTCGAGTCAAAAGTTAGTTGGACCTCCTTATACTTGAGTATTAATTAGCTTTTAACGTTGCTGCAATTTCACCATATTTGTACCTTCAGCTTCATTTAGATGTGAGAATTGTTTATGTTGATCGTGACGAGTGATAAGGAGTATTCACGTGACCTATAGTGTTACTGTCCAATATTGGAATAAGCATGATTCAATGCTACCATTTGAACCTAAACTTTTCAATTAACTGGTAAATGAGAGAGGAATATATAATCTCTCTTAATTAGTGATGTCAGTTCTTTAAGTATATATCTTTAGAGAATCCAAGTTAATCGAATGGAATTAATAATTGGTTTCCAATACATTTCAATCAAAGTTGAAATTAGACAACTAAATGTTAAAATTAATTTTGAAGAATCAAGCAAAATTAGAAAATTAAGATGTTTAAATGAAAATCTATTATACTTTATATACCTTATGAATGCTACAAATTGAACTATACTAACGTATCGATCAGTCATCTTCTGAGAACTTCTTTTTAGTACCCCCAGTGGCACTTTTCATAACTGAATTACCTTGATCATCCAAGTTTTCCTCATTTTCAACTTCTTCAGTTGATGCAGAAGAACTACTAGCTGATTCAGATGAAGATGATGTTGAAGTAGCCATAGCAGGTGGTAAACCTTTAAAATCTCTTTGTAATCTTTTCAATTGTGACAATGAACTTGTTAGATTAGTATCGACACTTTGCATAGCGTTATCCAAAGCAGGTTGTATCATAGAGGAGGATTCTACACCAATAGAGGTAGATACGTTCGATACTAATGTCTCTTTGCTATCAATGAAGGTTTCTAGAAATTTTAGTACTTGATCTTTTGATACATATTGAGGCTCAGCAATTTCATGTATCACGATTGGAGTGTTTAAGGTAGATGGGAAATTAGCACCTGATCTTCTTCCGCCTTTAAACATTGTAAATATAACTGATCTTAATATGTTATGACTTAAGTCAATTGACCTGAATGGAGCCTTCCTTAGGTGAGTGTCTAATCTTTAAACAGTCCATATCTATGAAGCAAATTGACGATTTCTTTTATAATATTTATAGAATGTTAAGCTCATCGCATCGAAAATTTTCAATGTTATATTGTATGGAAGCTAATGAATTCCATCCGGACACCGCATATACAAATGTAACACGATTCAAATAAGCAAGCATATTAACATAATACATATGAAAATGAATCTAGTCATATTTCCAATGTTCATTTGGACAAGAAAGTAGGATACATTGCAATGTCGGTAAATAGTTGGTTGATTGGGCAAGAACAGCATACACTAATAGAAGTACATTATATATATATATATGTATACCACGTGATCTATTGATAAATGAATTGAGCTTTTCTGTTCTGTTCTGGTCTCCCCTGCGCACGACAACAAAATTTGGTCGTATTTTCCTATCTCCGTCCAAGTTAGGCGGAAATAAAACAGTGGGAAGGGTACCCGGATCAGCGGCTAATTCCTGGAAACAACAACAAACAAAAGAACGAGAGAAAGGCACATTGGGGGGCTGATATGTATGGGTGTCTCTCCAATTTTTGTGATTCAATGGTAGCTGTGTATGTGTATGTGTGTGTGTTTTTGTGTCACATATTCTTTTGAAATGATTTGCCAATTTTAAAATACAAAAAATTAAAAAAGACAGACAGACACAAAAACATAGATTTCTTATATTATCCAGGGACTGTCCTGGATTGAAAAACATATAAAAAGGGACAAGTTTTGACAAGAAATCGACGTCTCTCATGGTTCACTTTCTCATTGTGAAGCCAAATTGTTGTTCTTATGATCTATTATGATAGAGCAATAGGAAGATGGCGGAGTCATCCATCAACTATCAACTATATAAATATATAAACGACAATGTGTAAATATATAAGCATACAGGTATATAAGTATATAATTATATAAGTTCTGGGAACATTAGGGTCGATGGACTATATATTAATATGGTGTTTACTCTCATGTGGAACGGCACGGGGTAAATTTAAGTACGTGCCGCCTTTTTGGGGTTGTTTTGGTTTTGTGATAGAGCAACACACAAATAATGTAGGAGGAAGAGGGGGAAGGGGAGGAAAACACTTCGAAAACCCAAAATGAAAACGAAAACGAAAACGAAAATATAGACAGCAAGCGAAAGTTCGATACGTTCGGATTTTTGTTCTATTATTATTATTATTTTTTTTTTTTTTTAATTCTCTTAATCATTTGTTATACGAATAGTTCAATTAATTCGATTAGTTATTAATTAATTAGCCAATTTTTTAGAAACATTATTGTCATAATTAGCGATTCTTCTCTAATTGTCGTTTGCCAACTGTATAAACGTTAGGTTTAATTATTGTAACATTACGAAATAGATTCAAGATATACTAGTCATTCAGATTCAGTTATTGTATTTTGTTGCTGCTTTATTTTCATTTTTCTTCATTGGAACCAACAAAATCGTATAATCATGGATTCACTGTCGAAGAAAATACAAAATCTAGGTTTGCATGATTTTCGCAATGCTGCAAGGTTTGCCCAAAACATGATTGTTCAATACGAACCTTACCAAATCGATATTAGAACTGCAACAAACACCGATTCATGGGGCCCAACTTCAAAGCATCTACAAAAAGTCATCAGACACAAGTATCATGTCCCCGTATACCTAATGACAGAATACATTTTGAAAAGATTAATTGATCATATAGCTTCAAAACCAAAAAATTTCTACGAAAAGGCAAGAAAAGAATACGTCAACTACGGTAACGAATGGAGAGTAGTCATGAAATGTTTAATTTTAATAGAATTTTTATTAATGAACGTAAGCGATGGCGACGAATTGCATCAAGTTCTCACTTGTTTAAAAAAACATATACACATATTGTCAAGAGAAACTACAACTTATAGAATCCCATTCTCTAACGATGGCAAAATGGAAATCCATGAACGAGGCATCCATAAGAAAAGCGAACTGATCGTCCAATTGATAGAAGATCCTGACTTTTTGAACCAACAAAGGTCAACCCATATTAAAAACACTCTCAAAATCCGTAAACAAAATGAAATGGATATCTTAAATGCAAACCAATCAGCTACAAATAGCAACGTCAGCGTAGAAGATGAAGAAAGTGACGACGAGTTACAAGCGCAAGTAAGCTATGAACATAGAATACACACTTCAGTGAATCTAGACAAACAGAGAAAGCAAAGAAGAGAAATCCTAAAGGAAAGGATAAAAAACAATGAAGAACAAAGACGTAAAGCAAGCCAACCAGTGCCTGATCTATTGGATTTCGATGATATACCGTCGCCTGTCACAACATCAAATTCAAATGATCCAACTGCATCATCAATCAATCCACCACAAGAAAGTGATGACGATGACGACGACGACGACGAATTCGGAGATTTCCAAGTGGAATCGTCAACTACAAAGACAACTCCATCGCCAACCCAACAAGTTCAAGAAACTGACATCACAGAACCTACTAAAATCCAAAAAAATGATCAAGAACCAAAGCAAAAAGTATTGGACTTTAACGATTTATACCAAAACTCAAAATCATTAATATAATGAATGACAGAGTGCACTCCACAAGCACAATCACATTCACGTCTGTTTTCTGTTTTGTTTTTATACTTTACCATTAAGTAACATCTGCATATTAATCATCACAAAATAAATGTTTACCATAATTTTTGATAGATCCTCTATACTTTGAAAGTGATGCCTGGCAGCATCATCAAAAATCAATCAAGAAATGCAATTTTATTATAATTATAATCACCACTATACATACATATTAATTAATCATATATACAGTCTCTTTTAGACAACTTCAGTTCATCCCCATCAATTAGAAACATTGGTTTTAGATAAATTGTCCACCACCTCGTCAACTTCATCTTCCATAACATCGTCTGTCGTACCATCAACACCTTGTTCAAACATCTGCTTACCTGTTAATCTACCATGGTGAGCAGCTAATCTTCTATCAGCATCTCTTTCATCGAGTTTTAATTCCTTTCTGAATGTTCCTCTCCAGTTTAAAAAGGATTCTCTAGTGACTTTGGTACCGTTAAACTTGGCTTGTTCCTCTTTCTCACGAGCCTCTAATTGCTTCTCGTATTCTTTCTCAAGTTCAGACAACCTTTCATGAAACCAATTCTCTGAGTTATCTTTGACCGTTGATAATAATGCAAAACACATTTGCATTCCCAGAAGCATGTCATTCTCAATCTGTTCTTCCAATTGAACTTGCAATTCTGGAACATATCCAGAAAGTGATATGTTATCTGATAAAGTCTCCAATTTGGTCATCATTATATTACCATGTTCATCGAATTCTTGTTCTTCTTCACTTTCTGCCTCATCCTCATCGTCTACAAGCGATACCTCTTGAGCTTCAATACTGATAATTGGTGCCGCATCAGGATAGTTCTCAGGCAATTGGAAATTCACCATCATCGTATGCTCTTTGTTAAGCTGAACATTGGAATCCAACATCGCATCTAATTCTAGCCTTAATGATACTTCAAATTGAACATTTGGAAAAGCATCGCTCAGCACATTCAACTCATCTGGATAAATCGACTCTAGAACTTCAAGTTCTTGTTGTTGCTCTTCCTTATAGTCCATCTGATACCACCCTATAGACCTTTTAACTGCTCTCCTCACCTTCAATCCACCAACTGTATCTGCATCTTCTTAACCATTAGATGTTTTTTTTCACCTTGATCAAATTTTTATATTTTCAGTTTTTTTCAAATATTGCTGCTTATGGCTTTGCTTTGATATCGAAGTGGTCTAATAGCCTTTCAGATAAGTTGGATATACGTCAGCAATGCAAACTAATGACAGACGTCAGGACAGCTTTCATACAAATAGTTATTGGTATTTAATTGCGTGGTATATGTAATATATAAGAACTGTATTTAACTAGACATAAAAAGAGTGAAAACCGATGAAATAACGTAAATAAAATGATAGTCAAGAGAGAGAAAGAGAAAATAAAAAAAAAAACACATACGAAACTAAAATAAGTAAGACGCTGATTATTTGGTATTGAAAAATGAACTCTCCATTAAGGATTCTTTTTCATATCCAATTCTAACGTTTAGATCTTGAGTAACGCTGTAGATGGTTTTCAACCATTTCACAAGTTCCCAAAAATCTGAATCATCAAGGGCTTCTTTCATACCAGGAAGAGCGAAACCTTCGTAACCAGTGTCTCTACCAGCTGCATAAACCATGTGCTTGAACCATGGTCTTCCTTTCAGACCTTCTTCAACTAAAAATGTACGTTCCAACAATAACAAACGAATGTTGGTATACTTGATCCATCCTGCTAGAATTATTCTCTTCCAGAATGGCATGTCCACAGAATTGTCCCATAAATCTTGTAAGTACGATGTCTTATTATCCAATTTGATGGAGGAACCAATTGCATCACTTAATGATAGTTTTGTAAGAACGACTAGTTCTTCAATTGTAGTTTCGTTTACGTTATGTTTTCTCTCGTGACAACGTCTTCTCTTTGTGATCTTTTTTGATAACCAGTCATCTGGAATTCTTGCACTTAATTCATCATAGTATCCTTTCAATTCAGTAGCATATTCTGCCATTTTCAAAGGAACGACTTTTTGACCACTTAGTTTCAATGCTACTAAACCCAAGTATTTGGCAACTGCCTGGTGGTATTTAAATCCTGGATCCATCATCTCACTCATCCATTTATATGAATCGTAATTAGAATGATAATGATACACTGGATCGTTGTCGCCATGATCAAACCCTAAATCGACGGATGGAATGCCCAAATGTTCCAAGAAAACAGTGAAATCAGAACCACTACCCAGTATACCGATTTTCTTATCAGGTGTTTCGTAAAAGTGCTCGTAAAGAGATTGTGGGGTTTCTGAACCTGGATATTGGACTTGTTTTAGAGCTGTGTTCAAAACATGGTTTAAACTTGGAGAAGATTCTAACTTCAATCCAGTACCACCAACACTTACATCAACATTCAAGTAGGCGTAACAATGTCCTTTTAATCTTTCGCCATATTTCTCACCAAATTCAGTGGAACCTAATAAACCATATTCTTCACCATCCCAAGAAGCAAAAATAATAGTTCTTTCTGGGACCCAACCGGTCTTTGACAACTCATGGAATCCACGGATGATTTCCAACATACTTGCCGAACCACTATTTGGATCAGAGGCACCACCTTTGATCCATGCATCCCTGTGGTTCCCAATGATGATATATCCTTCACTTGGATCTCTACCTCTTAGTTTACCATAAACGTTGTAGATTGGTCTAATATCGTAAGACTGTTCATTGTATAAATTAATAGTATAATCTGGGTTTGGTCCTGTCCAATACTTGAAGTCTGCAAGACCACCAACCCAGTCTGAAGAGATATCTTCTGAAGAATTAATACCATGTCCATTTAACTTCTTTAAAATAGGTTCGATCTCAGCGAATGATACTGGTAAACTTGGAATTTTTGGAATTGAATTATATGGGTCGACACGAGTGACGTTACCTTGGGATGGAACACCTGGGGTAGTTGGATCACCTGGCATTTGTGACAAAAATTGAACAGAGCCTCTCTGAACTGATGATGGATTTCTGGAAGGGCCTTGTGGGTATGGTTTGTAACCTTGATCTTCATTGAAGTTATCGTCACCTGGGTCAGAATAGATTAAAACACCTACACAACCTCTTTCTTGCGCAAACTTAACCTTCAACCCTCTAAAAATACCACCATATCTTGCAATAGCAATCTTACCTTCTAATTCAACACCAAGCTTGTCTAAAGTTTCAAAGTCTTTCTTGGTACCATAATTAACATAAACAAATTGAGCTGTAACATTACCAGAAGCACTGTAACCGTGGAAGGTTGGGATTAAATCGTCCCCAATTGTCGTAGGGTCATCTTCCAACTCATCTTCTTTCAAACTAGCCTCATAGACTACTTCAGAATCATCTTTAATCAATTTCAAACCATTGTCTACAGGATAGTTCAAATAGATATCGAAACTTTCAACTTCTGTTTCCAATCCATATTCTTTGAACTTTTCAGCAGTGAATTCCAACAATTCCTTACCTTGACCTGCTAAATGTGGAATAGATGTGTACTTCCTTGACCAATTACCAGCTAAGTTAGTCTTTAGGTGTTCTAAGAACTGTTCTTCTATTTCAGGCCCATCAGGACCAACATAAAAAGTCAGCTCTTGTAAAGTGTTGACAAATCTTCTCAAATATATGAAAAAAATCGCAAATAAAAAGAGAATGGTTATTCTAACCCAAGAAACACCCTTCTTCCTTGTTTCAATCCTGCTCTCAACTTCAATTGGATTCGAAAGCTTCTCATCAACATATTTGTCAAATATTTCACTACTCATTGTGAATGAAAACTTGCTATAACCAACGTTAAATCACAATAAACAAATGATTGACGCTCTTTATCACAGTGATAATGCAAAATTAACTCAAGAGTTATATTCGACTTCTATTAATAAGTCTCTTTTAAATACTTCATTACAAATTATTTTAAACCTCTAAGGGTTGCATAAAATTTCATCATCAAATTACCTTTATAAGAGAGCAATATCGCGTATTGTTGCTATGACACCTCAAACAATATCGATCAATTAGGTAAATAACTCGTTTCGATAATCAATGCACCTACTTCAGCCTCAATTTCCAATCAATATCAATAGTTAAAATGCCTTACTTTTATTATTAAATCTATATACTAAGAATGCTAAAATTGTTACATTGTCTAGTTGTTGCGTAATGTAATACCTTGTATGTCTGCCCATTCTTTGATTGTTGACTCATCAATGTGGTCAGCAAATGGGTTTACCTCTATCAATTGAAGTACAAGTTCTTCCATAGTAATTGGTTCAAATCTTGATATTTTACTCACCAATTCTGGTATTTGCTTAATCATTGACGTTAATTGATCGTACAATGCTTCTCTAGTTTGTTCTTGATCTACATTATCTGTATCTAATACTTGTGATGCAGCCATAAGGGCTTCTATCATTTTTGCCTTTGTTCTAACTGGCTTCAAACCAATAGTTTTCAGGTCTTGTCGTAGTTTTTGGACTGATTGTGATGATATTACATTCATCACATCTTCAGGTTGTACAGAAGGAGTTGCTGAATTGGTAACTGCAAATTCTATTAAGCACTTTTCGGTTGCACTGTCATATTCATCTTGTGAATCTCTTACGTCAATATCATATTGATTAACTATTCTAATATCTTCTGATGACCTGGATTGATAACTGTTCGACGATTGAAGTTCACATTTATTAACTTCGTACATTACTGTAATATTAGGGTTTGGTAATCGTGTCGCTTGTGGTGTTCTTGTAGACTGCGGTGATCTCGAGATTACCGTGGGAGGTGTTGCTGCTTCATCAGGGGCGAGCCTTGGAGTTTCCTCTAATCCAACTGGACCAGAACCCAAATTACTAAATCTTGTTGATGTTCTGGTTACTGCTACTTGAACTTTTTCTTTATTTTTATTTATCGATAATAGAGTATCAACTTTTAAAGGGGAGAATAATTTGGTTACAGCCTTGAACGAGCCTTGTGTCAAATCGATCACACCATCCACCATATTACCATCTGCAGTAAAAAATTGAGTACTAGTGCTCTCAGTTTCAGTACTAAATTCACTTTCTGCTACTATACTTGCTACTTCATCTGATCCTGATATAACTCGAATAATCCTCGAATCCTCATCATCAGTACTATCAGGAACTTCATATATATGCATTTCTCGTTCTGAATCAATTGTAGTTTTTTTTGATTCCTCGATTATACTGACATCATCCATAACTTGAGATAATGACATTACCTCCACTCTAGTTTGTGTGCTATTTGGAATATTTGGAATCTTTCTATCAATTTGATTATCCTCATTATAAGCTTCTTCACGCATACTAGCTAAAGGTATCTGAGAAGCTTCCCATAAGTTGTCATACTCCTGTTCCTGTTCTTCACCATAAATATAGTGATATACTTGTTTTACTTCCATATCATTGGCAGATGGAAATTTCTCTAAAATCAACTTCATAATACGAAGCCATTCTTCTGAATTATAAGTATCATATGTGATTATATTCGAATTTTTATTTTTTACTAATTTTACCTTCTTCTCTACATTTCTTTGATGATTTATCATATCTTTAACTTTACCATGTTTTCCTGATAGCAGCTTTAATATATTCTCTGATCTTGATATCTTTATCTCATCTAAAGTCTGCTGAGTTGAAGGATTTGAATTGGTCTTGGTCCTTTTGGAGGTTTTGGTTAGTTTTGGTTTAGTAATTTTTTTTGATTTCAATTTCCTTTCATTGCTCCTTTTGATGACTTGAACAGAACTACTTTCTTCAGATGCATACTTAAAATTAGATAATTTCGATCGCAGATTATCCTCTTGTTCTATGTCATCAAGCTGGCCCTGTATCTGTGTATTCATAAATATTTGTTCTTCTGGTTCTGGTTCTTGCGTAGCGATCTTCTCTTCAACTGAAACCACTGGTTCGTCATCATTAGGTGCTTTATCTTCTATAGCTTCTTCCTTATCAACGAGCTCCAGGGGAGTTTCCTTAAAAGTATCTTTACTATTATTATCACTGTCATCATCGTCAGAAAATGGCATACTTGGAATTTGTGTGCCTTCCCCTTCTTCTTCAACTTTACCTTCTTTTAAATCATCTTCATCTATTATGGGCTCATCGCTATCTTGTGAATTCTTAGCAACTTCTTCAATAAGCTCTAAATTTCTTTGAGCTTGCCTAAAATCCATTTCAACACAACCACCGTGAGATAGGCACCAATCCTAAATACTTCCTCAACCTCTCTTATGGACCTCTTCTTCTAGAGTTCGATTGTTTTATATGTTCTTTATAGCTCATCTGATAATTATTAACCTAACGCGTTCAATTTTATATGATGATTTAACGTGTCAGTGAATAAAAGTAATTAACAAAAGCAGCGTTAAATAAATACAAATGATAAATAAATTATATACTTAAGAGGGGAATGAAATCTATATATGCTAGTACTAATGCATCTAGTTAGAAAATTTACAAGATTATAGGAATTTTACGTCCAAAAAATTTTTTTCAAGGGGAACAGAACATTCATCTCTTTCGATAATGCCTAAATTAAACAAGTCACCCCAGAATAATGATATTTTATCTCTACAGAATCCCATATAATCAAAACTTCCAATATCTGCACCATTGGCTTCTTCTTGAGATGATTCTTCTGTAGTTTCCTGACTAGTGCTACCATCTTCGCTACTATCTATTAGTTCTGTCTTAATTATATATTTGTTACCACTTGGTGCTTGAGCTTCTTTTGTCATTTCAATATGCTCTAATTCTTTTTCTTCTAATTTACCACTTTGAATAATTGCCCATAAACTCCAGAATAATTGTACACTTGCTCTCCATCTAATGATAGAATTATAGTATGTTCTGACTTCGTCATCGATTGAATTCTTTGCACCACCTCTCAAATGCGATACGTATGAATACAAGAAGTTTAATTCCTGTTCCTTTGTTGGGAAAGCCTTCGAATTGCACTTGTAAGGCTCCGATGAGTGATAATCATGCATCCACTCACTGAAGTGGTTTGCTAAATCGAATGCAGCAGGGTTTGGCCCAGCATATTCAAAATCTATGACTATCAATTTATCATCTTGAACTTTTTCTTCCTTTGGAGGGAAAATAATATCATCCAAGGAAATATTTGATGAAGTTGGAAATAAAGATGATAAAGAAGCAGTTGATCTAGTGCCACTAGGGGTATTTGGTTCTGTTCTAGTGACCGGAGCACTTAACAGTAAATTACCATATTGTGTATCGTTATGACAAAAGACCAATTTTTCTTTGTATTTCCCAGTCTCTTCATCCTTTAACCATTGAACATAACGGGCCACAACTTTTCTAAAGGTTGACCAATCGCTTGCGAATAATACGTCATTAATATTTTCGTTATCACTAATCCATTCTTTACCTATTGTTTCCACATTTGTCATCCATTTATTTATTAATTTTATACATGCTGGCCCACCTTCTCTTTCTGAACGTAAAAGAGGTACACCAATATGAAGTTCTTTCATTCTACGAGCGATACGTTGAGAGGTCTTCCAATCTCTAATATCATCCTTAGTTAAAGTTTGAGAATTTTCTAAAAATTGTTCAAATCTACCATTTGTAAAACAACCGAATAAAGATGGCCCAATATTTTGTAATGATAATCTTGCTAAAATCTGTAATTCATAATCTCTATCAATAATAGAATCAATATTAGGACCGTAAACCCTCAACAGCAATGAAGGCAAATGAGGGTATTCCAATTTATAAATAACATTACTCATTGCACCAGTTATTTGTGTCATTTTAAGAAACTCTCTTTTCAATGGTGAGACACCCTGTGCTCCTTTAACATACCATTTTGGAACCTTTAAACTCTGAGCAATATTTAAAATATCATCTTTCAAATAATCACTAGGTAGAGAGGTATCCAGTATAGCTTCAACAAAGGGAACTTCAATATACTCACCACCACCATTAGCACTAGCACTAGCACCAACATTTCCATTACCGTCATCACTATTCACATTTTGGTTTTCATCTAAATTCAAACCTTGCATCTTAAGAGACATAGAAGTCTCAGATCCATCATCTATAGCAGATTCATTATCGGAATCAACACTAATAGCTCGCACTGATCTATTAGAACTAACTTGAATAGTCAACGAATTTCTAGTCTTGCTCGAAGATCTCGAACGTGAACGAGACTTAACATAATTAGTTTGTTGACCGCGAGAAACTTCACTTCTAGCTTTCCTTTCAACTGGCATCACAAACTACTATTATTACGTATTACTGTCAAACCTTATGACACTCTCAAAGCACTATTCCCATCAAGGAAGATATGGTTTATATCGAATCAACCTTTAGCTTATAGCTTTAAATCAATTTCATTTTGATATGTCCAATCACTTTTCGGTTGAAGGTCAAAAATATTCAGAATTTGATATACATCAGAATATCCATAAGAAAAAGAGGATCTGTGAATGGTGATGGTTCAAAATGGCGATCTAGCAGGGTTAAACGAGATCAGAGACAATTTGGATAAGGCTAGTTGTATTTGGTTCGTCATGACGACCAGAATGATAGGTAATTTGGTTTAGAAAGGCACAAATTTGGGTTATATTCGATACTTATCAGAGTTGTGAAAACTAGGTCATCTGATGGTCAATGAAGGTTTATTTGGTTTTTGGCCAGTTCTAGAAATGTAATGGGATACATTAGGAAAGGACGGTATTAATCCTTGACTTGTGGTAGTTATCGTCACAGTTTCATTGCTAGAAGTTACACATGTCTAATCTGTTTTATCATCGACACTATTTTTTTTTCTGGGTTTTCAGTTCCCTTGGATATATCAGCAAGCGATGAGGTTTATTGCAGTACTAATCACATTTATTACACTTCAATGGAACTGAACTAAGGTAAAAAGTGGATAGAGGTGAACGGTACCGATGGATACCATAGCTGCGAATTATATTTCCAGTAGTGACAGTGAGGTTGATAGTGAGCCAGAACAGAAAAGGGCTAAAATCAGTGATTCAACGGAGGAGCTCAATAAGGAAGCAAATTTAAAATTGCCTACAGTTCCATCGACAGTGTTGGACAAATATTACGTTAGCCCTAACATTTTGAAATACACAGAGGAGATGTCTAATTTGGTTGGGATCAAAACTGGATTTAGGACAGGTCAATTCCGAAGTTTTATTTTTTTAGAATGGAGACCTACTAGCTTACAAAGACAACAACTAGTAAAATCAATTAATCAATTTAACGAGAATTTGACCAAGACAAAGGGATCAAACTTCAGATTTGATCCACTATTCATTTCATCGTTGGGCTCACCAGAACCATTGCATGTATCATTATCCAAATCAATAGTATGCGAATCTATTACACAAAGAAATTTATTTTATAGAGAATTAAAGAAAGAATTGCAATCAGTGCAGATTCAGCCATTTACATTAACATTTACAAACAAACCGTTGGTTCTAACGGCAAAACAAGACAGTTCGATGTTCCTATGTCTAGAGGTCAACCGATCCCACAGAACTAAAATCTTGAAACCAATACAAGATGCAATCAGTTCTGCATTAGAGACCACATTTTCAAATCAATCGGACATCATCATGAACTTCCAAGTCTCAAATGAATATCTACACATGTCAATAGCACAGATGACAAATTGCCCTCCTAGTTCAGCCAATTTAAAAAGCTCTTCCATCGATTGGGAACCATTCCATGGACTCGATGAGATCAAAGTTCCTTGTAAAGAGGTCAAGTGTCTAATAAATAGACAACTCTATTCCATTCCAATCTCGTGATCACGTGAATACCACATTTGTCACATCACGTGATAATCACGTTCCAAGTTTAATTTTCTCTTCGGATTGGCGGCAAAAATGATTTTCTTTTCTTTTTTTCTTTTTTCCCTTTTAAATCCTCTGACCACAAAAATCGAAAGTTAAGGGAAAAGTATAAAAGTATAAAAGGGGCCCAAAGAAGTTGGATAACTCTCTAAAACGTTTCCTTCCTTATGAACCACTTTTTAAGAGCAGTTTGGAATGCAAACCAACCTGGATGGTGGTTGGTCAGCTATATAGTTATGTAAGTATGTATGATTGTAATTAGAAAAAACAGAGCAGGGGTAGTGAGACCCTGGCGTTTATAGTTTTAAAAGTGTTGTAAATAGTTTTCATTATCACTTTCAATATTTAACATTGGGAAAGCAAAGGTTAGAAAGTACAAATAGGTTGGTTTTTACCCGGCCTTCTCTCATGAAAACCTCTATAGGCGCTAATTTTCGGTTTTGATTATTGGATCACAATTATCTCCCGATTCGGTAAAGTGTAAACATCATCTTTAAGAAGAGAACGTCGATTTGAAAAAAGTGAAGGTGAGGTGGTAGAACTATAATGATGATGTATTTGAATTACTAGATTTGTACTAATTGGCTCTGGGACGGGGGTGTGTATAAACCTTTCTATCCCAGTTTTACCACATATATATATTTATTCTAACATGGTAATTTTCCAATTACTGAATAGATCTATATATAAATAAATATATTGTATAAATAGAGAGAAGTATTACTTCCTATACACATATATACTTATATTTATATTTATATTTCTCAAACAATATATTCGAATAAGATTCGAGAATATAGTTAGGAGACTGGTCGATCATCAGGTTGAAAATAATAGAGATACTGCAATCATGGATTCTATTACTGATGAACAGTGGTTTTTAGAAACCTCTGGAATGTTAGGTAATGATAATTTGGGACCTCAATCACAGGTCTTACCTGGTAAACGTAGACCAGGAAAGAAGAAATATCCAACTCATATGTATTCCGATAGGAACAACACTGATACCATGTTTTCTGATTTCAAGGCTCTGATATCTCCAGAGCTTGAGTCGTTCGACTTCCCTCCATCTTTCAATGGTGACACTATTGCCGATAATAATGAGGATGTCGATATTGATTGGAGCCAATTGAATTTAGACCTATCTGTTGAGCAAAGAAGAGCAAACGCCCAACAAAGAAGAGTCTCAAGTGGGACTGCTATCTTTGGTTTTTCTAACCATGATAAAAACCTGATGTTTTCAAATACAAATTTAAACCCAACAGAATACCCAAACCCTTCCGAAGAGTTAATTAAACAAGAAGTAGACTTACAATTGGCCTTGGCAAAACAACGTGAAACTAATAGGAAATTAGAAGAAGAGTTGTATAAGAATATGCTGAAACAAGAAAATCTAAACAAACAGATTAGCAAACAAAAAATTTCAAGCTCAAAGATTCTACAAGACTCAAAATTTCCAGAAGTTTCACTAGATTTAGAAACTGAAGATTTATTTGACTTAGAGTCTTCAGATGTCATCAATGGTTCTCCTTCAAAGAAGCCAAACAGAGGCAAATTATCGATCATACACAACTATAATGATAAGATTCCAGTCCCTCAAAACAAAAGGAAATCAAGTAATATAGTGAGAGAAATGGAAAGATTCTTTCAAGAAACTAATACCCAAAATAAAGAAAACATATCTTATGGCAAAATTAGTGTACCTCATAAATTTGACCAAAATATTGTCACATACGGCAAACAATTGATTTCTCCTGCTTTATCTTCTAAATTCAGTCCAGCACTAAGCAATTTAGATGGTATTTCTGAATCAATAATGGGCGATAATCAATACGATTTAGATGATGATTCAAATGGATCCTCAAATATGCCTTTAGGTTTAGGGTTACATTCGGATAGAAGATCTTCTGTAAATATTCTTCCAACAATACCAAGCTCAATTCCTGGTAGCCCAATCCAAAGGATCCAATCTAATCCTAATGACGTTAGATCAGGGTCCAATAATAAAAGTACCGTGAATGGTGGTTCTTTTACAAAATTTCAAACTACACCAAGCTTGAAGCCACCATCTTCAAGAACAACATCACACGGTTATTTAGATGTTAACAATGAAGATGGAAATTGTACCCCATATAATACTAGCCCATCTTCATCACCAGTTATGAGAAACCAAGGACAATTCGAATTAAACTTAATAAACAGTAATACTTTCGGCGAAGCAAGCCCTATAAAAATAACAAGGAAACCAACAACTCTTCCAAGAGGTTCAATTGACATATACGTCAAAGAAATGCCAGATAAAAAGTTTCAATGCCTATACCCTAAGTGTGATAAAACATTTAAGAGAAGATATAATATCAGATCACACATCCAAACCCATCTGGAAGATAGACCATACAAATGTGATTTTGAAGGGTGTGATAAAGCCTTTGTTAGAAACCATGATTTAATTAGACATAAAAAATCCCATGCTGAAAAATCTTATGCCTGCCCTTGCGGGAAGAAATTTAACAGAGAAGATGCTTTGATAGTTCATAGAAGTAGAATGATCTGTTCTGGAGGTAAAAAATATGAAAATGTAGTCATTAAGAGGTCTCCAAGAAAGCGTGGAAGACCAAGAAAGGATGGATCAGATAGTGTTAACTGTAGTCCAGTTAAAGAATCTGTTAAAAATGACAGCAATGGTTATGTCATGAAAAAAATTGAAGAACAAATAAGTTCTTCCCTCGATATCAATACAATGGCAGGTGCTCCACAACCTCCATTTAAGTTTTCTAACAAAAGTTTGTTACTTTCACCTGCATCCCAGGGTGATTTTAGTGACTTTGACCCTTCACTAAACACAAATCAGGAATTTGAATTTAGTATTTATTAGGTAATTGATATATTTATAATATATATCATTAATATAATTAGACATTATTTTTATATTAAATATAAGGTTTTAAGTTAAAATGTTTATTACAGTTGTATTTATTTTATATATGCGAATGAATGCTCTATAAATCTAGCTCAAAGTTCCAAATATTCTCTTCTTGCCTGAAGATTCTTCCTTTTTATCAAAGTCATCAGTGAAATCAAAGTTATGTTTTAAATTCCATTGCTGTTTGATGAATTTCAAACCTTGGATATTGAAACCTAAATCATCAACATTTTCTTGTAAAGAATCTCTTAAAGAGTTTTTGACATTTAATATTTGATTTTTTAAGGCTTCATTTCTCTGGGAAATCAATTCCTTATGATTACTTCTAATGACAAAGAATAGATTTTTACAGATTAACATCAAATAGTTTTTAGTCATTTTCTTATCTTTCATCACTATATCAATAAATTTCAACAATTTCAAAACATATGAAAATGGTAACACTAAAAGAGCATCTTCTAATTGCGAAGGTTTGATTTTCACCAATGTTTCCATAATGTATTCATGAGGTTGCTTCTTCATTGCAATTAAAATTGCATTGCCTTGTGGTTTAATTGGTGGTTCACCGCTTGATTTCTTCTTCTCCCATGCCTTCATATCAATTTGATACTTTTCATTTGCTTCAATTTCAGACATACCTAAATCCAAAGCTTCCATCAATCTTTCACCAGCCTTTAGGGACTCCATTGTTTGATTACGAACACTAGTTGACTCATCCTCTACCTTTTCAGCATCACCTTTAAAAGCATCATCACCGGAACCTTCTTCCAATGATGCTAATAAAGTATCTTCATATTGTTCTTCAAGTTCTTTTTCCCTTTCTTCTTCTAAGAAAACTTGATCGTCAGTTTCTTCCCATACTCTTAAACTGTGGTCATGAGATGCTGATATAACTGAAGTACCGTCGCTTGTAATTGCTATGGACCATACTTCACTTTGATGAGCAGCCAACTTTTGTATACATTCAAATTTATCACCATCCCAATATTTGACTAAACCATCCTTGGAGGAACTGAAAAAATTATGAGATTCTGGCAAGAATTTAACATTCATTATAGAGTCCTGATGCGCAAATAATGATTTATGACAATCACCAAAATCTAAACCCCATATTTTAATATTTTTATCAGCTGAAGAAGTAATAATTAATTTTGAATCGAATGAAATATCAATTGATAATACAGGTAATTTATGACCATACAAACTTAAGAAAAACTTCATTGAATCTAGATAAAATACCTTTACAGTATTATCCAACAATGAAATGGCCAAAAATTTATCCTCTGGTGAAATTCTTACACTTAATACATCTTCGTTAACTTCCATTGTCGTATCATGAATTAATTTCATAACTGGTAAATACTTATCTGCCGTACCTGGAACCAAATCTTCTTCTACTTGAAAATTCCAAAACTTGATTGTCTTATCAGCCGAACCAGTAACTAGACGTCTACCATCACTTGTAATATCTAAAGACCAAATGGCAGTTTCATGTGCATCCTCTTTATTTTCTAGTAAAGTAGAAGAGGCTAAGTCAAATAGTTGTAAAGAACCTTCTCTTGTACCTACTATAACCAAAGTACCACCTGGCAAGAACTTACAAGTTAAGGCATAACCACAATCAAAGACTCTAATACAGGCCTTAGTTTTCAAATTCCATACTTTTAGTAAACCATTTGAAGCAGTAGCCAATAGTTTATCATCATCACTAATATCAACAGAACGTATATCTGTTCTATGACCTGGTAATTCAATTGTATATAACCTTGTTGGAGCTGGGGAAGTTGGGTCCCTTTTCTCATATGGAATGGAATAATATTCGATACTATTACTTGATGTAGTGACAACAAATTCTAATTTTGTATTGCTTACTGTAGTGAATGAAACTGATTTTATTTTGTATTGTGATTTAATTACTTGGAAAGGATGCATAATGATCGATGAATATGATTCTTTAATGTTTTGTTGAATTTCTTCATCTGTCATTCCCTTTTCCTTTAGTCTCTTCTCTCTTTTTTTCAAAGCTTTAGAAATTTCTTCTTCTCTTCTGATTCTAAAAACTTCAGTAGTTTTATCAGCATTTTGAATATAGAAGAATGCAGTTCCATTTGGAGCCACACTAAATTTAATATCCAAACCTCTTTGTTTACTTTGTTTATCATAAACACCTTTTTCAATCAATTTTGAACCAGCTTCTTTTGAAAAGTCTAAATTCCATAGCTTTAGTTGGGTATCAGCACCAGAGGTTATAAGCAAGTCTTCATGAACACCCATAGCCCAACATTCACCAGTATGAGCTATATGAGTTTCGATACATTGCTGTACCTTTAAATCCCAAATTTTAATGAGACCGTCCTTCGAGGTACTTACTAACCAATCTTCACCTTCACACCAAATACCACTAATAGCATCTTTATGCGAACGTAATTTATATAAACCAACTTCACTAACTAAATCCCAAACAATAATATTTGAATCTCTTGAACCTGAAATCAATCTAGTACCTGTAACATCAAATTTCATTACAGTAATGGCAGATTTATGACCATTGAAAGTCAACAAAACACTCTTAGATAACAAATCCCACACTTTAATGGTACCGTCCATATAACCTGCAGCTAACAGATTAGTTTCATCATGATAATGCAAATATGAAACTTCTGCTGGTTTACTTGATTTCACATCAATCGAACCTGCCGGAAGACCATCAGATAAAACACTGATCAGTTCACCTGTTTTGATGTCCCAAATATTAATGTTCTCTAATGCACTTGTAATAACACTACCTGGACTATTGCTCTTCTTTGATTCTGGTGACATCCAAACACAATTAGCATTTGTGCTGATGACACCAAAAACTGAAGCCTGTTCGAAACGTTGGTATGACTTAACCATCTCAACAACCTCACTGTTATTCTTCTATTGGCAACTAGAGATATCGATTGAATAGATAATATTCAAATATAGATATATATCATCCAATATAACTAAATCAAACTCTTATTGTATGTAGTTTGATGGCGATGAGATGAGCTTAAAATTTTTCATTAAAACTTTTCAACGTCTCACAGAAACCCGTAGAGGGCGATAATAAGACATAGTAAAGAAAAGAACCTTTAACATCGATATAAAAGAAGAGTAATCAATGATGTTGCGGACAGTAATACCACTAGTGTCATAAGATGGTATAAATCTGTAGCATATTGTCAATTATGCCTTAGTCTTTTATATTTTTTTGCCATTATTCTATATGGGGGGTAGAGAGAATTTTGAACTTTAACCTTGTAAAACGTGAGATAAAATGAATAATTTAAGATGAACGATCTTATATCCTCTTCGTATCCTCTAGAAACTCGTAATATTCATCCATGATATATGGCCAAGGGTCTAATTCGTTGTAATTCTTTGAAAGAATTTCCAGAGTAGGGTATTTCTTGAAATATTCTAATAGTCTTTCCCATACATCTCTAGTGATTGATTCAATTTCATTGACGTTGATGAACTCGATCCAACTGTTTAGTTGTAGTTCATTGATCGTAATTGGACATTTAGAACTGAAAAACAGTTTCCAATATTCGATTGCCATGTCTTTTTCGATACATTTTTCATTACTGTCTCGAATTAAATCAAAAGAGTATCTATAAATATGAGTGTAATATCTTATATCATTCTGTAATTTATGATCTAAATCATCTAGTAATATCTTCATGTGTTTTAATTGAGAACAACCTTGCTCGTACCACGTAGAAAGAAACTGATCCTTGGTTATCGGCAGAGATAATGACTTACAGTGCATCAATTCAGCTAAACAAATCGTCACGATGTCTTCCAATTGATAATCCAAATCATTAATCAATTGAATAAACCCATCGGTATCAATACTTTCCCCATTATCATTACTGTATTTCTTAAATATCTGAATCAACTCTTCAGGGTACTCAATAACCTCCTCCTCCACAAGGAAGCTACCAACCTCTTTATCATAGTACTCATTCAATGCATAGTTTAGATTCCAATTATTACGTTTCAAATACTTGGTTGCAACTTTCTTATCACAATTAGTCAATCCAATAAATTCTTCCGTAATATCAGGCTAAGGTTAATCGTTAAATTATAGTTAGTAATCTCTAGATTAAAGAACTTTGATCAAAAATATTTATAAAAATCACAAATATTACAATTAAACATACCATTTTAAAGAAGAACCGATACTCAAATTGATGGAATACCTTCACTTTCAACAACAATATCAACTTCAATGTGATCTATAGACTTCAATATTATTAAACTATACCTTATTTAAAATATTTAAGGCTTTAATGCGCTTTTAAATAAACCATCAAGTAACTTTGTACCAGAAAGCTCGATGATGGTGTAAGAACTCATATAAGGTGTGATAATTGATAATTCTAAGGTATTCCATTGAAATCAGGACGATGATTTATCCCTTGGAGTTGAAGTTGGTGTTAAATAGCATTCATGAGCTTGTCTCATCGAATAATCCAAAGGCAGAAGATGAGTTAGAGGCTTTATTGACTTGGTTAAATCCAAATGAGAATTTAAGTAATCATCAGATGAGACCTCCTACATTACGACTTAAGAATGGGATTAAGATGCTTTTAAATCAGAATTCCAGTAATTATTCAGATATCGTTTACCAATTAAGATACCTTTTAAGACATTTTTATATTTACCAAATGCGAGTACATTTCTTCTCATCTTTTGACTCTATAAAAAGCTTTAAAGATATCCAAAGGTTGGAGAAATACTATGAGTTCCCATTACGACATGTTAATATATTTGAGAATCATTTAGAGGAATGGTTAACTGAATCCGATGGTTTAAAACATTATTTGATTAATAGAAATTCAATTTTTAGAGACTATGTTAAGAGAAGATTAAAATACCTTGTATTAGAGGATGATTTCGATTTAGCACAAGATATAATAGTATGGATCAATAGTGCCAATGGAAGTGTATCTTCAAGAGATATCATGCTTGATATTTTGGTAGAAAAAATATCAGTCTTCAGTGAAAAACATATGGTCAGTATTTGGGATCAACGATATCTTGTAATGGGAAACTTATAACAAATTTTATTACCAGGTATTGGTCTCAGTTTGCTGTTTTATTGGATTGTGCTGAAAATGATCATGATCTAACAAAACGTGGTATTTAGTTGTTTTGAAAGGCAAATTTTTGAAGATACAATCAAGGGAAAATTTCGAGATAATGTGTAACTGGTTTTCCAAAGACCAAACCAAGTTTATTAGAATTGAAGCATATACTTGTAGATTCAAAGGATTCTACTAATGTAGTTGTGAAGTTTTTATGTGAATTCGAAAGAAAGATAATGAATCCAAGTATCACAACGGTAGACGCATTAATTGCGTATGTCAAGACAGTTAAATCATTCTTAACATTAGATCCAAGTGGGAAATACTTGCACTCTATATCAACATTTGTTAATCCATATTTACAAGAAAGGAACGATTTAGTCAGTGTTTTACTTTATGCAATTTTAGATCTTCAATCTGAAAACTTCCAAGAAGAGGCCCAGAATATACTAGATGCAGATTCTTTAGTTATACTGTCTGATGAGTTGAGAGATCCAGAATTTGGTATTGAAGGTGAATTAAATATCGATTTGGACAAAAATGAATTGACTGGTCAACCAAGTAATAAATCTGGCGATTCATCTCTATTGTATAGACAAGTTATTACGCAAATGTTGAATTGGGTACCGGAATCATCGAAGATTGATTCTAAAAGACAGAAAATGATAGGTTTGAGAAAGAATTTATTGGATATACTATTAGAAATATTTGAAAATAATGAAGTGTTTATTGCAGAATTTTTAAAATTATTAACTAAAAAATTGCTGAAGTTAAAATACTACAAATTAGATTCTCGTTGGAGTAAATGTTTGAAATTATTAAAGGAAAAATTCAAGGGCAATTCTGCAGGTACGACCTCAATTTCTACAAATATTGGCAATGTTACCGGCTCTGATCTAGTGTATATCAATAATATCGATGTAATGCTATGGGACTTGAAAACAAGTGGAGACTTAACATCAAGAATGCACCAGATCGAAGGATTGGACAGGAGAATCCAACCGAAATTTATCTCATCTCTTTATTGGGATCAAGCCAAAGAATCAAAATCCAAGGGGAACAATGCCAAACAGACACAAATCGATCCCCTTCTATCTACCCAATTAGAAAAGTATATTAGGGTTTATTCTGAATTAAAACCAGGAAGAACATTGCATTTACTGAAAGACCATGGTACAGTGGAATTAGAATTTACATTCGAAGATGGAAGAACTATAAGTTGTGACGCAACATTGGAACAGAGCAATATTATTAATTATTTCAGTGAAGCAGTATCAGAAAATGGATTGTCCTTAGAACAATTACATATACTTTCTGGAATTGAGTCGACTGGATTGAAAAAAATATTACAATTTTGGGTTGATGAGAAAGTCTTATATTTTGATGGACAACTGTATCGAATTCTAGAATATTTAGATCAACCTGAAATTATAGTACAATCATTGACTCATACTGGAGAGGTATTAAAAGAAGAACAGAAGTTAAATCCATTATCTTCATCATCAATTACAAGTGATATTGATCAGATGAATAAGATTCATGAAACGTTAAACAATGTTTGGCCATATATCAAAGGGATGTTGACCAATTTAGGAAGTTTGAAATTAGAGAAAATACATTCGTTTTTAAGAGCGACAGTGCCAAAAGACGTAAATTACAATTCCATAACCGTATCATCATTAGAGGTGTATTTAAACAGTCTAGTGGAAGATGATGTTTTAGAATTACTGGCAAGCGGTTCATATAGACTCCCATCGACTTATAAACCATGACAAGAAAGGAAAGAAAATTGATTAATAGAATTAAATTACATTGCATTGCATATCATTAACTAAACAAACGAACAGATGAATGAATGAATCGATAACAAAACGTATCTCCATTAGTATAAAAGTGAAAAGACTCGAGTTTTATCCTCCTTTTCTTCCCAGCAGCCCTTACAATCCTTCTATCACTACCAGAAGGTTCCAGCAATCATTTCGCAAAAAGAGTAGCATCAAAATTTACAAAATGGTATTATATTTCATTCTCTTATCATATTTTCAAACCTCATTTCAGACACTGACAAGTGGTACCTCAAATCAATTCATCTCTTAACTGTCAAAAATGAGCAGAACAAGACATCAAGCAAATATTGAGGTCCCTTCAAACTGGGGTAAAAAAGGAAAATTAACAAGAGAAAGAGATAGTTCACCAAAAACAGATCAAGTTTAAACAATCATCAATCCATCAAAGATAAAGACCAATCATTAAACCATTCCACTAGCTTAAACTCTGTATTACAACTCTACCTAATATCTCCTTTCTCTTTAAATACTTCTCCTAAATCACGTGACATATTTCTTGTGGTTTCTCGAGAATTCCGAAGAGGTCCATTTCCTGGATCCTTTGATATTTCGAAAACGTCAAATTTAAATATAATTGATATATATATGTAAGATATTAATTTGTAATACTGTTTTTGGTTATGGATTATAGAATCTTATAAGCTAATGGTATACAAATACCTGTGAATTTATTTGGATAGGTTTAGCTTACTGTGATTTATAGTATTTCCATCCTTTTTTTATAAGCCTAGGTTAGTGTAGACGTTATTAAGCTGGATATCAAGAAAGTAAGAAGAAAAAAATTATTAGTAACATTTGATCTATAGGAAAATATTTGTTCAAAAGATATTTTGCTATTGTTATGAGTAATACAAACAATAGTGATGGAGCTAGGCCTCCTAATGATGGGGAGAATCCGCTTTCGAATGACGGTCAGAACGGTGATTCGGGAGCAGTTGATTCTTCTGGAAGACCAACCACAAATATTACTGTTTCGATTCAATACTCTTATTTCACACCTACTAGTTTAACTGGGACTACTGCTGGTGGTAATAGTGGTGATTCAGTTGCATCCGGTTCTAATTCTGGGACTTCAAACATTGGCGATGGTGGTTCTGAAACCACCGCTGCTGGAATACCTCCCATGTTCCCTGTTGGAAGACCTGATGGCTCTTTAGTATTATCCTTTAGAGATGTTCCTTCCTCGACACCTCAGCAACGTTTGGAGTCTATTATATCCATTGCTGCAGAATTAGCAATGCGTAGATTCAGTGATATGGTTATGCCTAACAAAGGTATTCCCAGAGAAGAGTTTGACAAACTTAAAGTGTTGAAATTGAAGGACCTTCCTGCTGATGCAGATAAAACCTGTGGTGTATGTTATGATGAATTTGTTGATGAGCCTGTACCTGGAGCCAAGAGAGAGAGAGAAACTGATAATAAGGAAGATGAAGAAGAGGAAGGATCTGGAAATGTAAAGAGGGCAAAAGTATCTAGTGAAAATGAAGGCCCCCAACCAAACGAAGGGGAAACCAGACAAACAGAAAATGGACCAAATCAAGGCACTACATCTACTCAAAATTCAAATACATTGCCAAACCAAGAGGAATCAAACGAGCCAGTGTATCTTGAGTCGCCTGTAGAATTACCATGCCACCACATATTTGGTAGGGAATGTCTCTACAAATGGACCAGACATGAAAATACATGTCCTCTATGTAGACACATCATTGTTGAGTTAACCCCTGAACAAAGAAACGCTCAACAGGAATCAAATAACAATAACACAGAAGCATTTGAAAGAATAAGACAGTTATTATACAGTGCAAACCCTGAAGAAGTAGTGAATCCATTAGCTGGAAATAATACCTCAGAAAATAATAACAATAATAATAATAATAATGATAATAATGATATCACTACAGGTAATGGCAACTCGGCACAAACTGCTTCAACTACAGATAGTGGTACTCAAGAAACAACAGTCGGTGATGGAATCACCTATTCAAGAAGAGAAATTGTGTTTTTAAGACCAGACTACGCTAATGGCAATGCTACTCCTGTTAATGTAGAACCTGCGTCAACAACTACTGCATCTGCTCCTCAACAGGGATCAACTACTGCCGCCACAACTATCCCTACTACAACTAGTACCTCAGGTTCCAACAGTAACACCGATTCTGTTCCAGCCCAACCTACCTTTTCATTGTCATCAACATCAACAGCAAATTCAGTTGAAGGCACCGAAACTCCATCGACGACTAGTACACAACCATCTAATAGACCAACCGATAGCAGTTTCCGCTGGTATGCGGTTCCCGTAACAGTTATTCAGTTAGGAAACGGTAACTTACCAACAGGAACTCAAACTCAAGCCTCTCCTGAATCAGCTAATGGAACACCTGCCTCCAGCAACATTAACTTACAAGATATGTTTGGGCAGCAGAACCCTACTCCTTTGTCAAGATCTAATAGTTTCTGGGATGAAATATTCAGTGTTGCACCACCATTGAACTTTAGAAGACCATTTTCAGAAAGATCTCAAAACCAAGCTGGTGCTCCTCCAGTTCCTCCGGGGATTCTTGCATCACTAGCATCTAGATTGAGAGGGTTACGTAATCAGAACCCTGCTACCAACAATGTTTCTGAAGCATCAAATACACAACCTCCACAACCTGAATCATTGTTCAACACAGGTGTAGCCAGTATCAGAGGTAGTAATGGTGAGGTCTCAACATTCAACATTCATAATGAAGAACTTCCTTCCGTTCCACAACATCATCAACCTAATAACAATGATAATGAAGATAATGAACAAAATACAACAGAGCATACAAATCCTGTATCAGAGAATGATAACCAGTCATAAATTATATGTGCATACTTACCTTCAAGAGAACCTTGAACGAAGTCAATTAATATTTTTATTTTTTTTACATCATAACTATTATTACTTTAAGAAGTGTATATTATACTGTAATTTCTGCATGCATTTTATCTGGGGTTTTCAAAATGTTTCATTATATACAATCTCAATACATATATAATTCATAAATATAATTGAATAAACTTTATAGACAATCGATTCATAAGTCTTTACTGTCATTCATAACCTTCTTTCGTTATGGAACCTGTTAAAAACATATTAATTGAAACTTCGCCTTAAGGCTTTAATTTTAAAGGCAACCAGGAAGTGAAAAGAATCATCATGATTCATTAAAAATATGATAAGGATTGAAAACTTGTTACTTCTAATATATATCGAATCAATGAATATTAAGGTATATTACTATACTATTAGCATCTAATTTATCTAGTTTCGTTTTAGTTGAGAATTTGCTGGAGATTTAGAGGTTGGATCATATCCAGAGATCTTTAGTAATAATTGAAATAGAAACAGGGACATTTAGGAGACTATAAGGTAGAGTACGTTTAGATTTGAACTATTGGAACAATGGCTTTGAACTTTCATATGCAAGGTTTCAGTGGTTATGGAGTCCAGTACTCGCCATTTTTTGATAACCGTTTGGCAGTTGCATCAGGTTCCAATTTTGGATTGGTTGGAAATGGTAATCTATTTATCTTGGACATTGATCCACAAGGAAGAATACATAGTATGAATTCATTTATGACGCAAGATTGTCTGTATGATGTTGCTTGGAATGAACTTCATGAAAATCAGGTATTAGTGGCCCAGGGAGACGGTTCGTTACGTTTATTTGACACCTCCTTACAGAAATTTCCAATTGCTATCTTTAAAGAGCATAGCAAAGAAGTATTAAGTTGTAATTGGAACCTGATAAATAAACAAACATTTGTCAGTAGCTCATGGGATGGTACTGTTAAAATTTGGACGCCAAACAGGAAGGAAAGTTTAAGGACCTTACAAGTTCAACCGGTAATGCAATCGCAGTTGGTGGATAACACTATAGCCAAGACTAATGGCTCCAGAGGTACAATATCTGCTAATAAAAATTGCATATACCAAGCCCAATTTTCACCTCATGATGAAAACCTTGTTATGTGTTGTTCAGGAAACTCTTACGTGACTTTATTTGACTTGAGACAACCAAATAGCAATAACAAGCAACAAAGGTTTTTGGCACATAATGGATCTGAAACTCTAACTTGTGATTTTAATAAATATCGTCCTACTGTTGTAGCTACAAGTGGTGTTGACAGTTCGATAAGAATTTGGGATATCAGGATGTTAGTTAATCTAGGGCCTCAATCGCAGCATATAAATAGCTCAGCTGCATGCATCAATGAAATAACCAGGGCACATGAATTAGCAGTCAGGAAAGTTGCATGGTCACCACATCATCCAAATGTGTTGCTATCTGCATCCTATGATATGACATGTTCAGTTTGGCAAGATTTAAGTTATGATGGTTCCAGATTTACTATGAAGACTAACAGTATAGATTCCTCTAAGGGCTTTATCAAAAGGTTCACCGGTCATTCTGAATTTGTATTTGGTGCAGACTGGAGTTTATGGGGTCAACCCGGGTTCATTGCAACTACTGGATGGGATGGGAACGTATTCCTATGGAACGGTCTCCAACGGTAATGAATAATTAATTTTCAAGACAAATGAACAAAAAACCAATGGTATTCTAATAGTAATCAATTAAAAAATAATAATACTTTATACATTCATTTATTCCATTACTTCGAAATGCTTTCATTAATTTCTGATTTTGCATTGTATCGTCATATCCTCAGCCTCTTATAGGAAAAGCAAAGCTTTCAATCAAGAAATTTTATATCTAGAATCTCATGAGATATATTATCGACCATATATTCATTCAAATAGACACCTATATATGTACCTAAATATAAGTAGCAGTTCATATATATTTTATGAATTTCTCTATCGTTATTGAAGTACTAAAACTCTCATTCCTGAAAGGGAATGGGATGATTCAGACAAGGGAAGGAAAATGATTGATATTTAAACCAAAATAATTGTATAATTAATTATCTTGTTAATGGTCTTGCCAATGACATCGTTGTATAAGAACGCCATAAGTTATTCTCTGACACTTTTATATCTCACGTGTGCCAAGAGGTTTTTGGATCCGTAGTATTCTGTTACGAGATCAAATTACGTATTGTCAGATCAGATATAAAAACATTACACATTAATATTAAATGAACTGTTGAAAGATTAGAACGTTGTTTGAAGAGGATCAATAGGACATATTCGAGTGACAATTGTGCAATTGTGATCAGTGGCTACTGTTAGTACAAGTTTTGTCAATTGTCAAGAAGTTATGAGTTTGCCTTTAAAGCTACTCAACTTAGATACTAAGACAACTATAGTCGATGCTAAACAAAAGAGGTTTGAATTAAATGTTGAAAGTTCATTGGCATATTTTGATTCTGTAGATGAATGGGCAGACTATATTTCAAATTTAGGTAAGTTATTGAAAGCTCTACAAAGTTGGAAACCACAGTTTCAAAATGTTAAATATTATGTCCCAACACCATATCAAGTTAGTAGAAGGTTAGCCTCATCTCTATCTCCAACTCTACCAGCTGGTGTACATCAGAAGACTTTAGATGTCTATAACTTTATCTTTGAGAAAATTGGTATCGAAGTTTTGTCTGCAGAATGTAATATTTGGATTCCTGGTATTTTACCTTTGATGGCTTATGCCTCAATATCAGTTAAAGCTCAATTAATTGAACTATATGAAAATTATTTGGTTCAATTAGATTCAAACGTGTTGAAAGTACTTATAAGACCAATGATTGCCAGTTTGCTACCTGGTATTGATGAAGAAAATAATGAACACCAACCAATGGTTTTTAAATTAATCGAAACTATAAAGGAAAGGTTAAATGACGACTCTTTGTTTTGGCAAACATGTTTTATGATAATTATTAGTGACAAAGAACATAGATTGGGTGGTGTGGTGTGGTTAACTAGAAAGTTCCCATCGCTGAATGCTGTTCCTCATTTAATGTCAAACCAAAATAAGAATGATGTTGAACAAAATGTATTACTTGAAAGTTTATCTGATTCAGATTTGAAAAAAAGAGCGATTGATTTGTTATTGCCAGGTACTGAAAACTTATTATACCCAGAACCTGGGTTACTCGTAAGAGCCTTAGTCAGCTCTCTTGACGAGGACAACGACTTGCTAGTTAAACGAGGTGGTTTAGATCTTTTACTACAAAGATTACACCTTGATTCCCCAGTAATACAAGCAGTCATTGACCGTTCAGATAGAGCATCCTTAATATTAGCCTGTTGTAAGGTTACCATGAACAAAGATATGTCATTAAATAGAAGAGTTTGGAACTGGTTTTTGGGGGCCTCAAATAAACAGCAAGGAACTGAAATTAAATCAAGAAAATCTGAAAGTGAAGATAACATGACGAATCAATATTTCCTCAAATACGGTTCTGATTTAATTGTAGAATCGTTGTTGTCACTCATTGATTCTGAAGATACGGCTGCTACATGTTTTAATATCTGTATATCTATCTTAGATAGATGGGAAATTGGTACGTATGTAACACCAAAAATATTTTTAAAATTAATGAAATGTGCCAAACTATACAGAGAAAACAATAAAGTTATAGCATCTGCTCGCTCATATTTTAATGCAATTGATACCAATATTATTTGGGGTGAGTTATTCCTTCACTTCATTGATAACAAAGATTTCGAATTCCTAGAGTTCATATTGACAACATTCAGTATATCAGAAGATGAAGAAATGATTGTTCGTCATATGCCACTTCTTTTGCTAAGTATGCTGGCATTACCTTCACAAGAATGGGAATCCCAAGGCAACGAAAAGGACACATCATACATATATAACATATCGAATTTGATTATCAGTTACATTCCTGAACGTGCATTTTTACCTCTTATTGAGTCTAAGATAAAAGTAAAAGATAGTCAAATTAATAGAAAGAAAATAATAGAACAAATTTCTGCTTATTATGACGACATTAGAATTTCATATTCCAGTCAGAGTGGAGACCAAATAGGCGATCTTTCAAAATATATTGAAGTTCAAGATTTATCGTTATATATTATTTCATTATCATATGAAATACTATTACAGTCTTTCAAAAATGATGTGTATGTGCTGGAAGCAACTACTTGCTTCTTATCGATTTATGAAAAGGTTCCAGATTATAATGATGATAAATTGAAACAAAACGACTATAATTGGCATGAGGATTTGGTAGATACCTTAGTCAAGGCATTAGAAAATGATAAGATCTTAAAGGAATCTGTTTTTTCTGCAACAACAGTATTTACCAAATTCCTTTATAACAAAATCAACCTTCTGAATTCCATAGAGTTAATTAAGATTATTGTTATTCGTCTTTGGGATTGTATTTTGAAACCTCCTAAACAACTAAAGGCAATAAAATGCTTGGAAACATTAGATATGTACGTACCTTCTGGATATATTGAAGAGCAACTTACACGTTCTTTTATGGCAGAAACTGATATTTCAAAAAAACTCCTAGTCGTGGATTTGTTATGGAAACACTTGAATAAGGATAATGTCCTCATTACAAGAATTTTAGAATTATTAGTCGACGAATTATTTGAAGATGAGAATCCTCGGTATTTGTTTGTCGCCAATTGGGTATTATCTCTGAATCGATCCGGAGGCATTAGCAGATTATTTGAATTTTTAATTGGCCATTTGATCCAATTTAAATTTCTGTCTAGAGATCATATCACAGAAATTGATGACCTAGATTGTTTTACCTATAGAATTCAGTCATTAACAAACGTTCTGAAATCAAATGATCAAAAACTCATCCAAAATTTTTCAACATGCACTACAGTTCTTACAATTAACGACACTGACGGTGGTGAAAATTTGGATACATACAAGAACTCTGCGATAAGAATTATATTGAAGTTTTTGGAATTGAATAACAACATTCATGTAGCAAGTGTTAGAAGTTGTTTGTCGTTGTTAAATCTTTTATTAGATGGAACTGAAGATAGTTTTAAAAATATTGTCATTACAATGTTAGAAATGTCTTCAACTTATATATCCCAAGGAGGAGTTGAAGCTGAATCAATTGCAGTCTCATTGGTTAATATTGTCTTTAAGGTTTTAAAATTCTCTCATAGTAATAACATCAAGTTAGAAATATTTGATGATAATACTACTCATTTGAAGTATTTGGATTACCTGGTGACAAGTGTTTCAAATATGGAAAGACCTTTAATTATTGGATCTTACATCCAATTATTATTGGGAAGTATCCCATACTTTGAGAAATCGATATTTAGAGTTGTCGTTCCATTGAGTGCTTCAATCGTTCAATGTATAGACAAATTATTTTCAGAAGAAGAGGACAAGGATTATTTCCTGCAATCGATTGTTCTTTTATTAGATGGTTTGAAGATGCTATTAACAGAGACTTACTATCGTTTAACTCCCTTAGAACAAGATAATTATTTCGCTGCTGCAACAGCTGGCACAGATTTTTTACAGTCAATGGTATCTAATGTATTTTCAAATGACAACAATTCTGTTGCTAAAATTCAGGGTGAAAGAAATGTTACAATTCAGTCATTCAAAGAATCAGTTCACTGTTGCATAGGTTTATGGGTATGGATTCATGAAACTTCTGAGGTGTATAAAAACAATGAAGATAGCGACCTACCTGTTATAAATTCCCACACATTAAGAGATTCTGTTTTGAAGTTGGTAAATTCTCTATTTCAACTTGAGCCTTTAGAAATTATAGATTGTATTATTATTAATAGAAATGATTCAATCGCAAGATCTTTAGTTTCATCTTTAGAAGAGCACCAATCAGGGATGGTAATTTCAAGCTTATTATATTGCATATCTAATAGATGTTCAAGAGGTTCTTCGCTTCAATTATCCATTAATAAGGACTTGATACGCTTGCAAAAGCCACACAGATCTGATGAAAAACACTCCTCAGGGAAAGCTTTAGCTAAAAATTTGATCGATTTCTTAATTGATTATATAGCTGATTTCCACGATTTAGTGATTGAAGATGCTTACTTAGATTTCATTACTTTTGCCAAGGATACTGTTTCTAATACCAGTAGCTATACAACAGTCTGGTATTCGATTCTGAGATTATTTGCTGTTGTAGCTACTAGATTGTCGAAGTCTGAGTACGGAGACCAGCAAAACATTAAAAGAGAAATATCTGAAATTTTTATTAGATATTTATCAAACTCAATCTATGAGATATCTAATGAAGAAAAGGACATTAAACCTGCTTATGCGGCACTAAACTATGTGGTTGAACAATTGCAGTTAATAGTTAATGAAGATAAAGCTGGAGATAAGTATAACAATGCATTAAATATAATCATTTCGGCTGCATTACAGAAATATTTTAAAACAAACTCTAGTACAGATATTCCTGATTGTGTATTAGATTTGGCATTAACAATATCTAAGCGTGGTTCATCAAATAAGGTATGGAAATCATTGATAAATGATATGTTCAACAATGATAAACAATTTCTGACAATCAATAATAATGAGAAAATAAATGAAATCATCTCAATATGGTCAAGATACCCTGACTATAATACGAGGTTAATATCGGACTTGCTTCTTTCAGTGAACGCTAAAGGTATAGCATTAGCACCAGCACTTATCTCATTCAACTCATGGAATGTCTCTGAAGTAGATATGAAATGTTTAAGCATCCTACGAATTTCATATTTGTTGATGGTATCTGAAAAAGACACGCATCTTTTGAGTTTCCAGCCATTGATTTCATTTGTATGTCAATTTTTAACTTCAAAAGAATCGAAATTAAGAAGTGTGTGTTGGATTTTATTGAGGGTATTATTAGTGAAAATATCTTCAAATCATTTTAACGATTATTGGCAGACTTTGTCTTTTTATTTACAAAGTAATTTACAAGAATTCTACGAAAACATTCAAGTTCAGGCAGATATTAATTCTAATGAAATTTTACAAATTTGTAAAACTTTAGATTTACTTTTAACATTAAATTTTGAAGGTTTCCGTGCCACTAATGAATGGATATTTATAATTGATACTATAAATTGTATTTCTAAGAAGTACCCATACATCGCTTTGGTTGATAAGATCTCAGAGTCAGATATGTTTAAGACAATTACTGAAGATAGTTTCCAACTACCAAAACAGTCCAGATCATTGGTTCCAGTCCTAAGTGGGATTAACAAATGTGATAATTATACACAATTGAGCAATTTTTTTAGGCAATTAAGCTACCTGCATTACGAATCTGTATATTCATTCAAAAACATTGATATACAAGTTGCAGAGAAAGACTTATTAAAAGATATATTTATAGAATGAACATTTTATGATATTATAGTATAGATAATTATATAGTACAAAAAATGAATGCATGAGTTTGTATAAATTTTTTTTATTCGTCTGACCATTTCCATTGGCAGCTGTTAATTTCTGGAGAATCTATAGACACTCAATACTTCCCATCCAGCTTTCCTATGTTCAACGAGATCTATTTTCCAACCTTTTAACCTCATCTCCTCGGCAACCTGTTCAGGATGATTTCTAGCACAGAACAAAATATAAGCAACACCATTCTTAGACAAGATGCTATCCAAATTATCTAGAACTTTCTGTGTGACAACCATCCCATCTTCACCGCCATCTAGTGCAAGATCTAACCATTTATAATCATCCTTAGATTCAGGAACCTCAGGAACCTCCTCAGCGGGAACATACGGAGGGTTGAATAGAAGAACATCTACCTGATTCTTCCGTAAGCCAGTACCTAAATTACCTTGAACTGTATCTAAAACAGTCCCTTTATCACAATTGTTCAGTTTGGCTGTCTCTAATGTAGCTTCAACTGCCCATGGACTGACATCAACAGCTAAATAAACAGAATTTAAACCCACAGGTATACGGTTCTGAATCATAAAGGTAGTTACAATACCAGAACCTGGTCCAAATTCACAAACTAAAACTAAACCATTGAATTTTTCAACTAAATAGCCTTGTTCCTTCTCAAGAGCATCAAGTAAAAGGAAACTATCTTCACTAGGTTCATAAATCTTATCGTAATCACACTTCACCAATGGAGTAGGAAGCATTGTTAAATAACTAATACTTAACCTTGACTATCTTCGAAACTACTCCTCACACTTGCTACATAAATCATAAATCGAATTCGAATTCGAAACCGTTAATCACTTTTTTTTATATACATTCTCGATGAGCTATCGAATCTTTTCAATTGAAGAGGGTTGATTTCGAAACTTTAATTAAAAGTTGCTTTGATCTTTGATGATTTAAGAAGTTAGTTGATAATGTTTATAATTCAATAAGATTTTAAGGTGGTTTTTGTAGTGGAGGAGGATTTGTTGAATGGATTGAGTTTACTAGAGGTTACTAGGATCAATAAAATGTATGTTAAGGTTAAGACTTTGACAGGGAAGGAGATTTCTGTTGAAATCCAGGGATCTGATAAGGTATATCATATTAAAGAGCTATTGGAGGAAAAAGAAGGGATTCCACCTTCTCAACAGAGGTTGATCTTTCAAGGTAAGCAAATGTATGTATAATTGATGTATTTTTTCTTCGATCTATTTGTTTTATAGATTTCATGATTTGTATAGTTCTTTTTTTTTACTGACTAGTATGATTTATAGTGATGATGAACAAACTGTGGATTCAGCTAAACTGACAGATGGGATGCAATTGCATTTAGTCTTGACTCTTCGTGGGGGTTGTTAATAAGTGGAGGGATACATCAAAGTAATCCACTTCGACGTTTGAGCTTTAGTCTCTCTCGTTTTTCCCTATATATCGAGGTATATATATATGTAAATGTACGTATTTATACTGCAAAATTGTCTAGAATAGAAATAAATCATTGTTTTACTGAAAGGATGATGTAGTTAGGATGTTTACTCTTACAGGGTGGTCTTGGATGTACTTGATTTAGCATGGCTTTAATATTGCATTTTTTATCGATGGCCTTAGCTTAGCCTTAAATTGATATATATGGAACAAATGACTTTTAAAAGTTAAAAAAAGTTTCAACGAGATGAGCTATACAAAAGGAAGATTGTAAAAGGAGTAAAAGGAACTGATCGAGTCTATAAGAAGGGAATGAGTGATACTAATGGACAGATTACGTCTGATCAGCTGTTTAAAGAAGCTTTAGAGAAGAAGAAACAGTCAAAACTCATCACTAAAGTTGATGTATTGGATTTAGAAGAATTAAAAGACCTTCAAAGAAGGAAAAGATCTGAATATGAGGGGTATCTTAAGAGAAATAGACTTGACATGGGACAATGGATAAGATATGCTCAATTTGAAGTTGATCAACATGATTTAAAAAGAGCAAGGTCCATATTTGAAAGAGCTTTACTGGTAGATAACTCTCATGTGCCATTGTGGATAAGGTATATCGACACTGAATTGAAAAATAAATACATTAATCATGCAAGAAATTTGCTTAACTTGGCTATTAATACTCTTCCAAGAGTAGACAAGTTTTGGTACAAATACCTTCTCGTGGAAGAATCCCTGGGTAACACAGATATTGTTAGATCTTTATATATAAAATGGATATCATTAGAGCCACTTCCTAATGCATGGAACTCATTTATTGATTTTGAAATTAGACAGAATAATTTCGATGGTGTTAGGGAGACATTCCTCAGATACGTCTTGGTTCACCCAAGTAGTGATACCTGGTTTAGGTGGATCGACTTTGAATTAACCTATGGAGATGTACCGAAGATACGAAAAGTTTACTCGACAGCTATAGATACATTAGTTTCTTATTCTGATAGTAGCTCTGACTTTATTAATGAAAGTATCAAAATTTTAATTGCATTTGCAAATTGGGAATCAACGCAAGAAGAATATGAAAGAGCCAAAGCTTTATTCCAATTAGGATCTCAAAAATGGCCTGAAAATACTGAGATAAGAGATGCCACCATAAAATTTGAAAAGACTTTTGGTGATTCGGCAACTCTAGATAATAATATTATCCTTAGAAGGAAAACAAAATATGAAGCTGAGCTAAATTTGAACCCAAAGAATTATGATAATTGGTGGATTTATTTAGATTTATTAGAAGCATATTATTCGACAGAATATTTGACAAAACTAGAAAGTGCTGTTACGGATAATACCCCAGATGATAAGGTAAAATCTCTAGAATGGGAAAGGTACATTTATTTATGGATTAGATGTTTAACACATTTAGAACTGAAATCTTCTGATATATCAAATTGTAGGAGATTATACAATAAATTAATCAAAGAAATAATACCTCATAAGCTTTTCAGCTTCTCTGAAGTGTGGATTCTTTATGCCAATTTTGAAATAAGACAGGATGAAATAACTTCTGCAAGAAAAATTCTAGGTATGGCTCTAGGAATGTGTCCTGATGAGAAAATATTTCAAAGATATATTGATATTGAAATAAAGCTAAGAGAGTTTGACAGAGTAAGGAAAATATATGAGAAATATGTCTTATTTAGCCCTGATCATATTAAACCTTGGACAGATTATGCACAGTTAGAATCAAACTTAGGTGATGAAGAAAGAGCAAGAGGGATTTTTAAAATTGCTCTATCTGATAGTATAAAATGCCTATCAGAAGCTTCAAAAATTCTTCTATTTAAAAGTTTCATTACTTTCGAGACTGATTCTGAAAACTATGGAGGTGCAAGAAATGTATATGAATCGTTACTTGAATTTACTAATTATGCTACTCAAGTATGGATTGATTTTGCTTATTTTGAGGCATCTGCACCAACAGAGGCGCAACTTGAACAGATAAATAGGCAAGATTCATCAACAGAAGATGGTGATTCCGAAGATGAATTCGAATTTGAGCCTTCAAAAGAAAACTTTGATCGTGCTAGAGCCGTATTTGAAAGAGGAATCGAACATTTTAAAAATATTGGTGATACACAATCAAGAATAAATATGTTAGAATCTCTCCAAGTTTTTGAGAATAGTTATGGTGATGTGACTACACAGAAGTCTGCATTGGGTCGTCTTCCTGAACCAAAGAGAAGTAAGAAATTTAAGGATGGTATTGAAATTGAATATATCGATTACATTTTCCCAGATGACGTCAGTGCAGAGCCAAAACCTAATATATCGAAAATTTTAGATTTGGCTAAAAGTTGGGAAGTTGAACAAAGGGGATAATTCTTATAAATTTTATTAATTTTTTGCATTGTAATTAGCATTCGATTAGGGTTTCCTTATATACATAGATAAATCTTAACCAAGCACGAACCAGATTTTATAAATAAGTAAATAAAATCGTATTGTATTAATATTACTTAACTATTAATGTTACAAACCAGGTGGTCCACTTAAACCAGGTGGAAGTTGTAGGGTATTTTGACCATTGGTATCATCAAGCCCTGGAGGTGCATCTAGTCCAGGTGGGGTACCAAGGCCAGGTGGACCTGTTAATCCAGGAGGTGCTGCTAAACTATAAGAGTCAGATATTCCTGAAGGTATACCAGGAGTTAGCTCTCTTGAAGGTTGTGATTGAGCATCGTGTTGATCTTTGGAATCGCTGACAGCAGCTGCACTGTTTATTTCAGCGTTGTTATTGCTATTCCCATAAGAATTATATTGATGATTGGTGAGTTCTACTGCATTATGCTGTGGCATCCCAATCAAAGGATCACTGCTGCTCATGTTCGCATGAGTGCTATATTGTCTATTTGAAGTATCGTAACCAGTAGGTATAGCTGACCTGGTATTTCGAGATCTATAGGATGTGATAACTTCTTGTGATTCATTTTCGTAGCTGTTACTATTGTAGCCATTATTATTATATATATGTCTTCTTTTCCAGTCTCGTTGTTCATAATTATATTCATCCATGTTGTAACGTTTCGGCTTCCCTTGGTATCCATTATTTTGTGTGCTCATATCGGCATTACAATCCCTGGTTACATGACCTGATTGACCACATCTATTACATATAATCCTAGAAGCATATGTTTCCTTACTAGGGCAATCATATTTTTTATGTCCTTCTAATCCACAGTTCTGGCAAGGTCTGTTATCCTCCCTTAGAGTACCGTTTAATTCGGCTAATTCTCTCAACTGACCTCTTTTTAAATCATTCTGTCCTTCTGGAGAAGTTACTGCCTTGACAACAATATTTTCACAAACTTTTAAACCCTTTTGAACTTTTTCTTCAGTGTCAGCAATAATTAAGCAATGTAAAGGATCAGAAAAATTCATCGCACCTTGAGGAAGGTCATTGGCGTTTTTACCTTCTTTCACAGAACCTCTCCCTCTTATGGCTATTTTACATTGTGAGTCCTCTTGTAATTTTTTTAATGTATTACCACGAGGACCTAAAAGAAGACCTACGAAGTTAATATCTGGATATTGACTAACTGGAATATAATATTTATCCTGGAATTTTGTTGGTCTCTTATAGTCTTCAGGAGCTACGAAATGTGGTATTAATTTTAAAGCAATTTCGACTAGCCTATGTCTTTCTTCTTCTAGTTTCCGCTTGTATCTCTGTTCTCTTGTATTAGTTCTTCTGCCTCGAGCATCGTAGGCTGGTGGTGGAGATGGAGAACGATTTTTCCTCTCTGGAATCTGGAACTCATTCATTCTCAACTTCGATGTTATTTCTTGTATTCTAAACATAGTCTGGTAAGCAATCAACTGCTCCTGTGTTAATGCACCATTAATTGTAGTCGGCAGATGGTTGAACCGTTTCATGCTATTCATAGCCGAAGAGCATCCCCAAAGAGCAGCATTCCCTTTATTTGGTGTTCTACCTCTTGTATCCTCTGTATTCATTAGTGATTTAAGGTTGAGATAGAAGTTTTGGTATTTACTTCTATGCTTTAAGCATCCATTTATTACTGGTCTGAGGCATCTTATATGTTAAATATTCCATCTCTTCTTATAAACCTTTATACATTCGTTCATAGTGATGGATAATTTGATATTTCATATTAAGCCATATTACACCTTAAGTATTGTTTCTATTAAAAGAGGCATCAGATATAGTACCTGATTATCTATATTATTTATCTACAGTTCACTAAATATAATGCATTTTGTTTCTTGAATAAGAGTATAGTAATTAAATTTTAGCTAACATTTCTACCACTGCCTTTTTGACGATGTCGTAAAGTTCAGAAGGAGAACCGTCAATAATTGTTTCACCATCGTTGATCTTCCGTATCGAAACCTGGCCGTCAACCACCAATGTACCTTCACCTTTGAATTCAGCTATATGCTTTTGATCTGTAAGTTTCCTTTTCACTTCTGCTAGTCTAATATCACCGATAGATAGGGAAATTCCTGTATGAACCTTCGTTCTGTTTTCCATTGGTTTCAATACCATTTTGGTCCTTAATGGCTCCTTGTCATCGTCTTGTAACTTAGAATTTTGTACTTTCTCCTTCACTAGACGACCTATTACATGGGCTACAGTATGACCATAACCAATTTTTTGCCATCTTAACATTTGGTCTAGTTCAGGATCAATAGATATATCAAGAGCTTTGATGGTGGTTGTAAATTGCTGTTCAACGTTCGATGGCATCTCCACTATTTCTATATCCTTCTTTTGTAAGGTTGAAATTATGTGTGTGTTTTGAGGAACTTTCTCAGCAAGCAATAGAATTTTTCTTGGTTTAAAGGACGGCCAGATAACCGTTGCTGATCTGGTATCTACCAAACTATCGAGATTCATAAATGTAAATGTACAATTTATATGAGATCTATTCTCTGATATGGTTCGTATTGTTGGATTGTTATCAGCTTCTAGATATTGGATATTATCTATTGAAACTGCATTTTCATTCTGTGATTTTGATCTGTCACCTCTTCTTGATCTTTTTGTTATCTTTTGAGCATCGCCAAGATCGTATGGATCATCATCCATTTCATTTGTTCTTGAAGATGGCCTTTTGTTCGTATCAATTTCAGTGTTTAACTCTTCTGGGATGAACATGTTGAAATCAACTACAGAACCATAATCATCAATTTTTGTTCTACCCGGTTGGAAAGGAAACATCTTATGTTTTGAAGTTGCAGACCTATTGATCTTTATATCAACTGGTACCGTAAATGATTTTGTTTGTGAACTTGTTGAATTTAAAATATTTTCTTCTTCTTCATCTTCGTCCTCATCTTCTTCGTCATTTAGAGAGTGTATCAATCCAACACCTTCACTTCTATACATATCTCCAATTCTAGTTCCCAATTTTGCTTCTTTTTTCAAGATTTCCACTGTTTCTTTACATTTATCCCTTCTTTCTTTCAATCTGGCATTATATTCTTCTAACTGCTCGTTAACTAAGGGTTTATATGATGCAATTTTTAACAACACGGTATCTGTAAATGATATAGTACTACCATCTTGTAATTTTTGTAATGTTTTGGCCTTTTCCCACTTTTCATACATAGTTTCTAAAATCTGTGTATTGTTGGTATTAGTTGATGTCATTAGAACAGTGGTCTTATTCATGCTACATAATTTTGTTAAGACCTCATTCAGTAGTATATCAACTTGGGATACAAAGCAAACCTTTGAGCCCGGAAAGTTTGATATTTCAGAAGGATCGATGACTTTAAATTTTGATCCTATATCAAACGGAGAGGCGTTATCTCTTGATTCCCAAGTTTTCATCAGTGATGAAGAAAGCCATTCTAACATTGATCTGGCATATGTCAATACTTTTCCTCTGAAATATGCTATTAATAGTACATGTGTTTGGTTATAAGATCCTGATTTCGAGTTCTCATATAGAAAATTATGGACTTGAACGAATAAATCTAAAAATTTACCTGTGATATCAACCGGGATCATAATGGAACCATTATTACTCAAACCCCTTTTCAATGAATCATTGAAATTCTTAGATCTCTTTCTAAAAGAGAGTGCTGAGCCGAATCTTCCTAGAGATGTTATAATCGCTGTAGGTTTCATTAACGTAGAAAGTGGTTTACCGGTGTTATCCAAAAGTGCAGCACCATTTAGAATAGTATCCTTTGTATGGTTCCAATGAGGAGCATAAACTAACTTCTCAGAATAAGTTAATAAACACCAAATACTACCACCAGCATTCACACCTGAATTATATGCTACTAAAGTCAACCCATCGAATTTTGATCTCAAATCTACCAATTGTGAATATTTTACAGTCTTTATATTATCAAATGATTTTTCAATATCTTCTAAATCCATCTCATTAGTCTCATAAGGTCCTATAATACCAGCACATGCATATTGTTCAATTACTGAAATACGACCTAAATTTGAAACAGGTAGAGTTGCGTAAACATCAATTCTTGACACGAAATGAGAAACAAAATTATAATACAACATGGAATAAGCACCTAAGCATTCCAAAGAAGGCTGAGATAATAAAATTATATCAACTTCAGGAATTATTGTAGACCAATATTTAATACTATCAGCGTATGAAACATTTTTTCCATTCCAAGATGGATCTATAAGGATAGTAACATTGTCAAACCTGACAATTGTACCAACAGTATAACCAGATCCATCATCACAACAGCGGAACGTATAAGTCATTATACTTGGTTAGCCTTCACTTGCTAAATATTCCAGTCAAGTTATCGTTTTACTTGGTGATGCTGATAACTTATATTTAATATCAATCTATACTTGATTCATATTGTTAAATTTTAAGCTCTTCTTTTATGCTTCGGCCTTATGAAAAATAATCTAGATATCAATGGACATGATGACAGGGTCAAAAACCAGTAAGATACTTTTGAGTTAAACTAAGTTTGATGCAAGAGATGATGTTTATTTGTCTGTCTATAATGCTATATACTAAAGATTATGCATAGATGTAGTCTTAAAAAAATACTTATATTTCTTTAAGGTAAATTTAAGTGGACTAATTGTTTTCGTGGTTGTTGCTGTTGGATAACTCTGAATCAGGAACGTTTTCTAGATCTTGTTTCTCTTCTGGAGAAGCATCAATGCTTGGTGATGGTTCCTTTGTAGCTTCGATTTCAGAGTTTTCAATTGCTGGACTGTTACTTTGTGTGGTGAGCGTCTCTTCCTTTGCAAATTCCAGTTCTTGTTCTCCATCCTGTTTTCCTTCTTGCTCCTTTCCAGTTTCTATTTCTACCTCTTGTTCAGGCGTTTGGGCTTCAGATGCACTAGCTGTTTCAATTTGCGGCTCTGATGTTGCGTTTTCTTCCTTTGAAGTCTTCTCAGTTTCGATAGAAATGATTTTATTTCTTTCTTCTTCTAATTGTTTCTTCCTTTCCTCTTCTTTCTCCATGTATGTTCTTGCCGTTTCTAAATCTTCATAATGGGATGATTTTAATTTCTTGACTAGGTTCTGTCTTTCCTCATCTTTTCTTTCTGTAGAAGCAGCTACTCGGGAATCATCAAAAAGTCCAGAAATACCTGTGTCTTCGTCCACTTTATTGAAATCAAATAGATATTGGGATCTTAAAATCCTTAAGTTTTTCCATTGTGTTACTATTTTATCATTTCCTTCTTCATTATTAGGATCTTCCTCCCATTTTCTTTTCAGTATTCCATAATTTTCTCTCGCATCCACGCTTTTAGTTTTTATTAAGTCTAAACCAGAATCAATCTTCCAAACATTATTGATATTTTTATTACCTAACTTAACAAATCCGAATTTTTTAAAATTCTCATCTATTGAAGGGACTTTGATTTCTTCTCCTGATGTTTTTAAATTACTGAATTCTTTGAAACCATCAATTTTGCTCGATAATAGTTTCTCATCGGATTTTATTAGAGCAAGAATAATCTTTAAAAATGTAGGATCTCTATTCTTATAGAAACTTACGATTCTAGTTTCAAAAAGCTGTTGAAAATATGCTATCAATGATTTTTGAGTTGGGGTTAAGGAGTCATCATAATCCTTTCTTGTTGGATTATCCTTTGCATGACAGGTTTTATAGAAATTGCTAGCCTCTTCAGATGATGCTAATATATTCAGCAGTGATACAAAAGAGGAAAATTGTAAAATGAATTGTTTTCTATGGTAATCGTTATCTGTTCTAGAGTATTGCTGGAATAATCCATCAGCATTCTTTGAAGACAAATCAAGAAAAGTAATACTTGGTAATTGCTTTCTGTCATTATAGCACTTATAGAAACCATCCCAGTGTTTAGCAAGCTTCTCTTGGATAGCCACTGAACTCTTTACAAAAGAGGATTCCTTGATTTTGAGACTATCATAATTGAAAGGGTAGCCTTTATTTAGAGCATTATTTGCTGCAGATATTCTAGTACTGGTCACTCTTATTTGATTATAAAATTCATTTTCAGCCTCTAACATAACGTTTAAAAGTGGAGTCAGATATTGTTCTATCGTACTTTTTGTTTCTGTACACTTGAAAAAAAAATAGACTGGATCTCTAAATAACCTGCTTCTCGTTTTTGAATGATCATATAGAAATTTTTCACTTGAAGTTTGTCTTCTTATAGTATTGTCATTCGATGGTTTTGAACTATGCCAAATGTCGCCTGTATCGAAATTAGTTGATAGAGTTCCTGAACGATTGAAGTTACTTTCGTCAGAAATTGGCAAAATTTCCGAAATGAACTTTTCAAACTTATATTTCATAATGTAGTGATCTTCAGTATTTAATTTGTTATTATTAGCAATAGTTTTTAAAGTGCTATTCCATTGACGAAGTTTTTGTGATAGAGGAGCATTGTAACTTATCAATTCCGTAGAACCATATTCAACAGGGTTTAAGGAATTCCCCATTTTAAACCACTCGATTCTAGATTCAGTATAAGGCCAGAAATCTAACATTTCTGAAGGCCAAGATAATAAATTCAAACAATGCGAGAATATTTCAAAAAAGGTTGACCCCCAATTTCCTGGAATTTTTCTATTTTTCCTTGAATGATAAACAAAATCCAAAACTACAATACACATATCTAAAGTCTTGGCTGTTAATCCTTTACCTTCTTGCCCTTCTCTTTCAGGAATTATGCAATCTGATATCATAGTCTTCAAAACATAATCTACAAAAAGGTCTTTATTGGTATCTACAATTAGATCTTCGGAGATACCCCAATTAAAATCTAGTAAATCGCTACTAAACACAGAGCTCTCCAATGGTACCCTTCTTACATCTGAATTTTCATTAGCTATGTTGGTAAAGGTCTTGGTTAGATGTGCTACGCATTCTTGTGCACATTTTTCCATTGTGTTGCTCATATTCTCTAGACTTCACTAAAAATCGTGAAAGGAATCCAACAAATACGCTGGAAATATTATATAGAGTTCTTTATATATGAACAATAGAGACCAAATCTAAATATCTCTGATATCTTTCCAGCCTATAACCTATTTCATTTCATTATTATACATTTTATAAAAAGTTTCAATATCAAATATTAGAGAATATGGGTCAAAATCATTCCGTTAAAAATGATAATTATTTATGTAAAGAGATCGATGGGACACTTCAACTAGTGCCACAAATGCAGACGTTGCAGTTTGCTGAAGGAAGAAGTTATGAAAAAAATACTAATCAATTTGTACAAATACCAATTTATGATATTACATATATATTATATATCTATTTTGATAAAAATGGTAGTATTGCTACTCTCCGCAACATAGCCATCGGATTGATCTCTGATAAATTTTCATTTCAAATCTGTGGTCACTCATTGTTGGCCCTTTCCTTCTAAATCAGATTCAAGATAAATAAAATATTCATTAGAAACTATCTTCTGTAATTGAGATAAAAGTGAATAGAATTGTTTAGAAGTTCCATTCTGAAACCTTTCCCTTTTATACTTTTTCAAATTTTATTTTTGTGTCATTTCCAAAATTCCTTATAAAAATTTTCTTTTCTTTTTTTTCTTCCATTTTTACAGAAAGTTACCCTGTCTACATTTTATAAGATATTCAATATCCAATATACATATATCAGAAACCAATATCGAATATGAAGAACAATACCTTATAATGACTATGAAATGACTTCTAGAGGACTCTAATGGTCATTGACAGGTCTGATATTGATCATATCTGGTATTTTTCATAATTGTGATTGTGTTTCCCGTTTTCCAAAGGTCGGCAGTGGTCACTGGATAGTAGATCTTTACTACTCTGTTTTTTTTTCCTTTAAGCTATCGAAAAAAGGAATATAACAAGTTCTAAAATAAAATATTGAAGTTAAGTCCTATGCTGCAATGAATATCAATCAAGAGGTTATTGTTGGTGTTGGTGTTGTTGACTTTCATCATACTAGAGGTCCTGAAGTTGAATATTGGCATGGGTTACCTGAAGGTACAGATGAATCAACTTTATGGCCAAATTTACCATTTCAAGCGTTGCCAGATGGATCACATTCATTTAAGGAGACATTTACATATTTTACGTTATTGTTTAATCCAAAGACTAAAACTTGTCCTCAAGGTGGGGCTACTGGGTTAACTGAAGAGGAACGTAAAGAATGTACTACTTTATTTGCAGTATCCTGTTCTCAACAGATTAGCAGTGAAGAATTATTACATAAGGATAAAGAAGTAACCCGTTCTACTGTTCAAAAAGCTATAGTAGTGGTTTCTTATCAACCTATATTTGGTCAAATAAGAGATAAGTTGAGTATAGTGACTAATGTTTTCTTTTCACAGAAGAACTTCACGGATAGAAGCATTATTGTTTCCCTTTATGATAATTTACAATCATTATTTAAGCCAATGACTTCGACAAGTTTATCAGATAGTAACATGTACGTTGGTTTATGCTTACGTAAGATAATATTAGATTTCAAAAAAGAAACTTTGGTATTATTCAAGGCATTATTTTTGGAAAAGAAAATAATATTTTATGGTAATAATGTGGAATCTTTATGTAATTTACAATTTGGTTTGATAAGTTTGATTCCTAATTTGATCTCAAATCTCCAGAACTCTGGTAGTCCGATGTTGCATAAAGATGTGTCAGATATAAAGGTTGTTACTTCATTTAAGTCAAGTGACAGGGCTTCTGTTCTTACCTTTATGGGGTTCCCTCTCCACATTTTTGAAACTGGTGGATTTTTCTCACCATATACTCCTTTGCAACAAATCAATGATATAAATGATGAAAAATCAAAGTTTTTTGTCATAGGCACTTCGAATTCTTTACTATCTGAAAGAAAAGATGAGTTATGTCAGATATATGTAGATACAGATAATTTCACTATAGAAATTATAGATAAGTCATTACAACCTCTATTGCAATTAACTGCAAATGATAAAAAATGGATAGAATCTATGTCGAATGTAGTCAGCGAAAGTTGGAATGAAAATGATAGAGAAACTCCAAAAAATTCACAATTTGAAGGTAGCGAAGATTTTATAAGGTGGCAATTTGAAGATTATTTAATTGGACTGTTATCGAGTGTAAAATTGCATGATTATTTAGAAAATCATAAAAACAATGAAAAGGCTTTGATGACTGTACAAGATGATATGATTCACGCAAACCCGATTAACTTGTTTAATATAAGTTGGGTAAATGAATGGAAAAAAACTCAAAGTTTTTCTATTTTTAACAAAGTCACAGATGATCGTATTTTTGATTTATTCCCACCAAAGCATGTATTTAATGGGCCTGATCCATTCAAAGCGTTCCAACAAAAGTTTATAGCAACATTTCAGAATTTAAAAAAAAATAACAGTAGTAATAGTAGTTTATCTGACGAAAAAAAACAAAAAAATGAAAAGAAAGATTCTGAATCCCTTTCAAGGACTTCCACTACCTCAAGTTCACATACTAATCATACCAAGGATTTCAGTAACCGCTGGATGGCATTCAAGGAATTATTCAATAAAAAGAAAAATAGTAGTCAAGAGAATGATATACATGATTTGAAAAGTAAGGCTGATCAACATCTACTAGATGAAGAAAGTGATGAAGACAATACTACTGGAAAAAGTAGCAACGGAAGTGACGAAGAGAGTAGTGATGATAGCAGCGGTGACGAAAGTAGTGAAGAAACTTCTAGTGATGACAGCAGTGATGATAATGATAAGGGTTCAGCAGTAGAAAATCAAGGTCCATCTATTGGTTTAGGATTACATTATATAACATCTGAAAGTGATAATTCCAAATCTGAGGAACCAAAAGTGTCCGAAGAAATAGCAACATTGAAATTAACAACCTCTGATGATTTTAAATCTATGGAAGATGAGGAACTGGTGGAAGTTACTTCTGTGCCCAATGATATTGAATCTGTGGACTCTAGTGTCACCAAGAAAGAACTAATTGAAAGCAGTAAAAAATAGAAATATAGGTATTTCTTAAGAATCTGGTTAAAGGAACCAAATGCGATCAATAATTAATTGGAAGAATTTTCAATTTTCAATTTTTAATTATTTTGAATTGACTCTTTCTTTTATAGGCATATAGTATTGTATAGTATAAGATATTTTTATTCGCATCCACAATTAACCTGATTACTTGGATTGTTGAAGTATTTGAATAATACTATTTCGATTCTTGGAATTTTGATGAGAAAAAATTGAAAATGCAAAAAATATTCTTCCCCGCCAGGACTCGAACCTGGAATCTTCTGGTTCGTAGCCAGACGCCGTGACCATTGGGCCACGAGGAACAAGAATTAGTTACTTTTTTTAGTAAGGAGTTGGTGAGTATTGTGATAATTTAAGAGATCCAGGTTATGTCGTTGCATTTTTTGTTAAGCTATATTTGAATTCAGAATTTATAGATATTTAATACGTGTACGTTGAATAAGGTGCTGGTCTAGCTTTTATTCTACTTGTCTGTATTGTGGAGTGGAATGGTCGACATGTGATTCGAAGTGTCTACCATGTACGATATATCTAAAATATGACAAGGCCTACCAATTGCTAGTAGTTCCAAATCCAAAATGGTGTAATGTAAGGCATAATGTAGTGTTTTGATCTTTTTATTTTACGTTATATATCTTTTTTTTTCTCTTTTTTTAGTTAGTTTATTCTACTACTTCATAAATTTCAGGTTGAAATTCCTAACTGATAATGGCTGGTACCTCTATGAATCTAGTCTCAATAGTACAGGAACTAATCTCTTAGTTTCTAGACCTTATTGATCACCACCCTGGTAGTAATACATGATTTCGTAGCCCAAAAAGATATACAAGAACATCTACTCTTACTGCATTCCTTGATGTAACTCTTATAAGACCTACAGGCGCCTTGGCCAAAACCACATATCCAATCTACGGAGTTCCTCTTTTAACGAGTATGTTGGCCTCTATATCTGCATACATGGCTTCTATATATTTATTAATGTCATCCTGTGTTTCTGGCCCTTCATAGATATCTTGATCAGGAGCGTCCAGAATAGCATCTTCAAAGGAGTACATCTCATTTGCATTGAGGTTAGGGGGAGGTTCGACTACTATATCATTATGGGCTGTTATGGTCTTGTCAATGTTGATGAAATATATCCCTACTTTAGTCGCAAATGGTGTAGTCGTATGCAGCATAGTAGTAAACTTAGCCACCATCATGTCCTGATCTAATGTAAAACCTTGCAACACAAACTCCTTCGTCGAGTTGTCTAAAGAACTGATTAAGGTATTACTGAAGGTTGCCACTGACTGGTTGGTGGCGGTATACTCACCAAGAACTACGATAATGAATAAAGATTTGTAATATAATAATGGTATAGAGTCTGGTGTGAATCTTAATCTGTATTTATTTTGTATTGATTAACTAACTTTTGGTAAACTATTAGCTATTATTTGATTCTAGAGTCAAATTGGCATATGTTAGAATAAAGGTAGATGTGTGTTTATTCAAGGGAACCTTAATGTAGAGATCTGTATGATGAAATAAATATACTATTATTTAATAATGTAGTTGATTGATCTTTTTATGTACAAGTTAAGATACTAAATAATGTTCAATAATATCTCTTTATAGCAACATTGATACTATGAAACAAAGTTGTTGCAACAACACATATTTCGTCACTATCAAGGTTCGTACGAAGTAATTAATACCAGAGTAATACATTAATAAGGTCATTTAATACTAATTCAGGTAGTCCGAATTTTATTCATTAGCAATAACGATTGGGATTCGAGTTCGATATTTAATTTTAGTTTTCTATAGAAGAGATGTTTATTGATATAATCAAATAAGCAGGAACATACTTTCCTAGTAGTCTGTTTTGATATTGGCATTTCAAGGTATACTAATCAGAGGTAAGTTTGATACACTTCTTGTAAGGACTTAGCATTCTATTGTCTTCCCTTGTTAATATTAAAATTTGTCACATTTCTATACTACATTAGTTTCTAAAAAATTAATACCATGCTGTTTTTATTAGAATTTACTGTATGTTCATTATGCGGCCCTTCAGATTTTTACCGATATTTTAATTGACCTTTGGTTCTATTGAAATGTGACAACTTCTTACCCTTTTCTACACCAGAAATACACAGCCTCTAAAATATGTATAAAATAAATCTAAATGTTGTATTAGTAAATTTGGTACATAGCTATATTCCAGGTATTTCCTGTCACCTGAATTAGTACCAATTGATTTCCCGCTGCCATAATTATTATAAATTATCTCAAACTGCCAAATTAGTAATTTGTGTCGTGAGTGATCTACTGAAATTATGAATGCTGACTATCACATACTGACGATCAGATTCTATAGCTACCCAAATTATGCTAGTTGAATATTAACAACAATTCCTTATCCCAACGATCAAATATTGAATAAAGCATAATTTACTTTCAAGAAGACAATAGGTTATTGTTCAACAGCAACAAATTATATTATCCCTTTAAAATATAAGGAAAGTTGAATTCGAGTATACATCAAATAAGTTAAAAATCTTGTAGTTTCTGAGATTCAGTAAAAATCTAGCATATATTTAGTACGTATATACTATTGTTACAAAAGTAAGACACTTGAAAATAATTCATGATCTGTAAGTGACAGGATAATGTATTTAAGACACTTTATTACTATAAGAAACAAGAAGATAATCAAGTATTTCTCATCTTAGCCATCCTCTTTACTTTGATATATGAATAGACTGAGTGTAAACTTGAATTTCAAGTTTTTCTTCTATTGATGTTAAAAATAAAGATAGCCTAATTGACGTTATTTAAGGCTATATAATTAATTAGCCTTAGCTTCCTTATTATTATGCATATTATCACTGTATCAATGAATAATAACCATAAATAGAATACATTGGGGAAATCTATTGCCTAATTATATACAAGTTGTAATCAATTTCTTTCTAAAAATGACCCTTGGTTTTAAGGCAATTGTTGGGAGATTTCTTTTGCACTTGATACATATGTCAGTACTTTACAGAATCTTTTGAAAAGAGTTAGCTGATAATCGAATTTTAGTTTCTTACTAAAGATATCTAGCCATATTTAGTTAATAATCTTTTTACACAGAACTGAATCAGTTGAAGAATATCATATTAAGCTGAAGTTTGTATGTTGTATACAAAAGCATTACATTAGATCACTTATGTCATAAAAATTATTGGTAAAGCAGAAACAGACGCTACGAATTATCTGTTTTATTATAGAAAATTTCATAACAAAAGAAGGGAATTTTTATAAGGCATATGAATAATGGTAGCATCTAATTGTATATGTATTATTTGAATCTAAATTGGATAATTAATGTAACAAAGAAATTAGCTGAATATTTCAATTTTATTGTTTCTCGTTTACATTAAGTTTTGAAACATTGCATATAGAATTGAAGCATGAATCTTCTATCTATAGTAGTTAAGAATATAAATGAATATTTATTATAGAATATTTCCGGTTTATTAGTAATGCTTCCATGGTTCGATAAATTTAGATGATTAGAAATAAGGTTAAATTATTTTTCTGTTCTTTTTCTTGAATTTTGTCCAATTGTTAATTCCATCTGGTAACTATAGATTCAAAGGTCCCTTTATGATGTTAATTAATAAGTCCAATTACAAAATCACTTTATTTCTTGTAGATACCTGCTGATTTACCGTACCATTCTTTTTTTTTTCACACATAAAAGAAAAAAGAAAGGAAAATAATTATAGAACAGCGAGCATCTTAAAGCCGAATTTTATCCCAAGATGCGGCTATCTCGTATAAATGAAATTAATTACCACGTTATAGATGGTATGAATTAGGGTATAAAATCAGACTTGCATGTGCTGCTTACTCAACGAAAAGGTTTTAACTGTAAACTTGAATCGTTTGACTATAGTACCAAATAATTGGTTGAAAATTACGATTTTACGTACCATGCATGCATGGCATATAGATTTTAAAGCAAGCTTAAGGGTAAAGGCAAAAAGGGCAAAAAAAAAATAAAAAGAGGAGGGGAAGATTAATTGACCATAAACTCTTAAGAGAATATGCATGAATTTCCATCAGAGAGTTTGATAGAGGGGTATTTCATAATTCCAAAAATCTGACATAATAACGTGTTCATGAAGAGGAAAGAACCCCTTGGACGCTCTGTTCCATTCCTATTTCTCTCTCCCTAATGGCCACAATCGAACTACCATATTTCAGTATCATGTATGTAACCTACACCATATATATATTAAAAAGTGCTGTAAATATCACATGTCCTATATAACAATTATAGACATATTGTCTCTTTAATTGAATCGACACATTTAAGATTACTAATAATGTTACTAAATATACAAAAACAACAAAAATAACTACTCATTTCTTTTTCTTGAAGTAAAACTCTCCAAATATGATATATCATTCCACCATCTCCTCATCAAAGATATCATCATCCTCCTATCGATTGTTATAACTGTAAAGGATCGAGTTGAGATTCTTATCCCAATTCATCTTCTCGTTACAAATTTACTAAACAAGAAAGATTCCCACAATTTTGACCTTAGTTAGCGGCGACAAAAAAAAAAAATTGAAATTGATTTTGTAAAATAAAAAGAAACGAAAAACTCATATTAGCGCCACATTTCTTTTTTGTAAGTCGCCTCCCCCCCCCCACGAAAATAATCCCAAAATAAGAAAAGAGTTCGCTTGGGTTTGACATTTCCGCATTGGGTTCATGCATGTCCTTCTTTTTTGCAGTAAGCAATTTCCGTAGAAGGGATGAAAGCTATCTTTTTTTTCTTTGTTTTGACATATTTGAAAAAGAAACGACCTTTTTTACGATCTTAAAAGAATGTTAAACGAGCTCAACAAAGATTACTGTTTTGGTTTACTGATTTCCCGACAATACGAAAGAGGTATTGGACAACTCACTTCCTTATGAGTAAATGTCACCATACTAAAGAAAAATGCGGTCATAAAACTATTTTAGAAGAAAGAAGGGAGATAGGCAAGAACGTCCAGTTTTCGATGCTGGCAATGAGATAAAGAGAGACGCACAGAGAGAGAGAGAAAACTACCTGATTTGATTATTGAGAACAAAATGAAGTAATGAGTATATTGTTATTGTTTCTAATTGAGACATTAACAAACAAGGTATTGATTATTAATTTCGATTTTCTCAATGGTTTTGGCTTGGTACACCATCATCAGAGACTGATGGAGGTTAACTTGGTAATTACAGCAGATTGGCAAGAGTTATCTTAGTGAGTCGCTCCTGTTATCTAAATAAAGTTTCTACAGTGGATTGTTAGGGTATTTACTTGAATAGATGTTAAATGGCAATTACGATATGCGAAATTGTTAAATTTATATGCAAATTCAGAAATTTAGAGTTTGATTGTTCGGAAGTCGCTTTGATCACAATTTTGACTTCTGTTGTATTCGGGAATATTTTCCGCTAATTTCTGTTATGGGATAGGGTTTAGATCTTGAAGTTGTTTAATGATGTATTGACTTGACAGACCCCTCCATGATTCTTAAAAATAGATTTTGGGAAATTACAAGGGTTGGGTCTTATTTGATTAGTTATATTCGAATTCTGATAGTCGTTGGTCATCTTTCCTTATTTGATTCTGTAAATAAAAAAGAAACAAGTGTCAGTTGATGATAAAATGGGTTTCTCTTTAGGCTGAGGAAAGTCTATAACGATATAATGATCATTCGGAATCAATGAGGTTTACTTGTTCCAAATATTAAGTTAAGTATGCACTCGTATTTTTCTTGCCTATCTTATTTTATTTATATCAAATCGTTTTGATACAAAGTCTACAGAACAGAAATTGTAATCTAAAATTAATTATGAATATTAGTGAAATTACGTCTAGGTATTTATTTTGTTCCGCTTTTACTAAATAAGAACAGGTGGTTCCTTCATTCTTTCTATAAGTCTCGACAAATATGTCGTTCCAAGAATGAACAAATTAAGTGGATATTGCAATATGAGTTCTATTCTTAGTAAGAAAACTAAAAAAAGAATTATCTTTTGCAACCAAATTCTTTCTATAAGTTTATTCTAAATAACACTGCTCTCTAGATATCTATTTCGAATGAAACGAATTCTTCATGAAGTTTATTTCTATTTTAATTTATTAGTTTGAGTAAAAACATTACATACTTTGAAATTTTTTAAAATTAGTTATTTATTTATTTTTTGTCTCGTGGTTTTGATTAGAGTATGATAAATGGTCTTAATTCAAAAAATACTATAAATCCTTCAATCTCTTTAATTCTTCCAATCTATCACTTAGTCTCTTTCGTCTAGTTGCTGACAATTGTAAATAGTTGTTGTGATCCTCGTCCCCATTTCCTTTGTTTCTCTCGCCAGTCTTGTTAACGATATCATAGTAATCGCTGAAAATTTTCCTTCTCCTTACATTAATGAACCAATTAGACAATTGTATTTTGGTCAAACCAGTTTGTTTCAGAAGTTCTTTCTTTTCTTGTGGAGTTGGATATGGGTTTTGTAAATGGTTCAACAACCATTGATTTAAGATTTGGACAGAGTTTTTAGGTAAATTAGATCTCTTACCAGCACCAATGATACCATGACACTTTTTCATTGATTTTTTGGATACGTTTGAGATAGTATTTCTGTATGGGGTAGAGGCAACGTTGTTGTGAATTGAGTTAATAGTAGCGGCAGCCGATAGCAGTTGTTTTTCATCAGCTACTAAACTATGTACAGGGGATGGGATAGGTGATGGCATTGGGGTCAAAATATTATTGCTATGATGATGATGATGGTTATGGCTTGATATTAATTGGCTAGTATCACCCCTATCGTTGTAGTAGGAGGGACTAGATAGATGAGGATTATAATTTAAATCTTTTTTTGTAATTGTAGTTGGTTCTAAAATGTAATTATTTTGATAATTGTAGTGAGTGTTTGAATTTAACGATGACTGTTGAATTGAAGGTAAGTCATAATTATCGATTGAATCGATTAATGATCTAATTGAAGGTAATCTTATTTGTTGTGGGGATTGCATAGTGTGAATCATAATTTCGGTAAGTTTTTGAGTGTTTATAAAATTTCTTGATAGTATGTTGTAATACAGTTGATATTTAAACCTTGTGTGGTATATCTTTTATCGTTTAGGGTACTTTTGAAACAAAGTTACTTTTATGAGATGGGTATGGATAGAAAAGACAAATAGTTACCAAAAGTGAATATAGAGGACTGAAATTTAAGAAAACGACAAATAAAAAGGACATTTATATATATATGCAAGCTCTCGATAAGATAGAGGTTTGAATAAAGTAATATTTTAATTAAAAGTTGATAATCAACGATAATTAAAATTCTATTCCTTTCCTTAGAAAGAAATGTGTATGTACAAGGATATCTTTTAACAATGTTGCAAGAGAATGTGACCTAAGCGGTTTCGTACAATAAATTGCAATTACAATTACCAATACATACATATATACATCTTAATCGTTTTCTGTAGTCTAAAATATAGGAAGCAAAAAAAAAAAAGCGATGCATACACAAATATTACCCATCCTTTCTCGCATACAGCTGAGAATGAGCTGGAGAGAGCCCACCCATTCCTGCATACAATCCGTAACCATAATTGATTAAAAATAACCGACCCCTTTTGTTTAATTTTAGACAGAGACAGAGAGAGAGAGAGATGGGATGGGTATATACAAAGTATCTGAAATAATCTCAAGTGTCCATTCATTCATTCATTCAGCTTTGCAAAGTAAGCAGATAAACCAGCTGGATTGGACTAAAACCAAAACCAAATTGAAGTAAAGTAAAACAAAAAGCGTTGCATTTGTACGTACAAATCGTTGGATCGATTTGAAGTTGTGAGAGAAAACCGTTGTGAACAAACTTTTCGTTTCTTTTCCTGGTGGGTTTTGCCAAAAAATTGTGTAAACCGTTCGGTTCGCCAGAGGGAAAGAGAGATCGAAAGGGAAAAGACAAATTAAACGAATGGAAGACTCCGTGAGTGTCATATTTTGGTATCAGCTCTTTGTGTCTCATTTCAACTTTCTGCCCTAGTTCTTGTCCAGCGAGGTGTCGTTTAAACGAGAGAAAGAGAGAGGAAAAAAAAGAAAAAAGAAAAATGCAATATGCAAAACAAACGGCAGGGCATTTCTTTTTCCAGCTCATCTGTTGCCTTCGCAGTGTCACAAAGTTGACGGACCGAGGGGGGAAGGAAGGAAGAGAGAGAGAAAGAGAGAGATAAGCCAATGGAAAGCTAATTGAATACCGGATGCTGCCAGGCTATCCTTAATCTGTATGAAGGTTTGCTGCAGCCAATTCTTTCTTTTTTCTCATTTCGTCTGAGCTCCCCTTTCTCCACCTTTGTTCTTGACCAGACGAGACACTGAAGAATATCGTCGTATCCCAATTCACTAGGCAGGCGAAGGACAATTAAACCAACAAAGAGAGACAAATTCTCTTGCTGTGCTGCATTTTGATTTGATTTGTTTTGTAGTGGCTTCGGAAGTCACTTGCAGCAAGACACAACGTCAGGACAGACGTGTGCTGTATGTATGTGTCTCTTGAGTGGAATTGGAGAAACTAAAAAAGGTGAGAATCCAAAAACAAGAAACGTCGATTTTTGGTGCGTAGTTTTCTCTTGAATTTTCCAAAATGAAGCCCAGAAATAATAATATATAGAGAAAGCCTGATACACAACGGTACGCTGTTCAGTCTGGCTTTGCTTCGTTGCCCTTCCTTCCACGCAGAGAGTGAGCGTAAGTGTTTGTATGGGTGTTTGTTCCTAAAAGTAATATTGGGTAGTGGTTTTCCTTGCGCAGGTGTGTCTCTCCGTACGTACGTTCGTTTATTTAAAACAATGCCAGATTCTTAGAATATGTAATAAAAAGAAACGAAAACTTTGCTGCAGCTGATATTTGCCATGTCTGTCTGTGTGTCTCTCTCTCTTTCTTTCTCTCTTGCTGTGAAGTGGTTTTCAGTCAAGCGTTCTTGTGTGGCCATGATTACCTCCCAGATACGTATGTTTTCGGTTGGGATTGCGTTGTCCACCCTTTGATCCAACGGTCTTTTTTTTTGCCCTCCCTGACCCCACCACCACCACCTCTCCTTCTGCTGCAACTCAACTATCAAACTACAGATTACATACAATTTACAATTTACAATTTACAAATGCAAATACAAATGCAAATGCAAATGCAAATGGTGGGAATATAGCAAGCAATTTGTTTGCTACGTAATGGCGCTCCAGGCGATCCATCAAAACAGAGAATCTCAGAAAAAGAAACAGAAAGCTATCAGAATCGGCCATTTCGATGTTGTTTGAAAATACTCGAGCATGCACTTGTTTCTTGTTTCTTGTTTCTGGACTAATAATCGTTACTTTTTTTTTCCTTTTCCTGCCTTCCGCTTGTCTCCGTCAGCTTGTCAACAAAAAGGGGCCCATATGCTTTCCGACATCTGTGAAGAGTTGACTACCGTGCGAACGGATCTCTATTTTCTTTTTTCTTTCTTTTTTTTCATTCTGTTGTTGTTTGTTATTTGGGCGGTTGTTGTCCAGCATGTTCTCGCTGGCACAATGAAGGTCAGTTTTAAGTTTGTCTGGCTCTTCCTTCTGTTGTCATAAGCAAACAAACTGTGACTTTGGCCTATTCCATCGAAAATCGATGGCGATGATATTTGTCAGATAGACTCAAGTCGGTGTACAACGAACGATATTGGCAAACTATATGGGTCCAATCTCAATCTGGCGGTTCTCTCCGTCTAAACCAACACTCTTCGAATTCAGTTTGATATACGTGTGTTGATATTCTGGTACTTTTTGTGTGTTAATAACCGATTAAGTCTGGAAATGTTGGGACATTACTAACTTCGGTCTCTCTCAATTGACACACTTGTTTCCACCCCCGCTAGCTTCTTTGTACAAGGAAAATAAAATTTTAATCTAAAATAGATCAATATGAAAAATGGCTTCAGCCAGATTGAATTTAATCTTAGTAAGAGAATTGTTTTAACCTCAAGTCCATATTGCCATTCGTTGCTACGGTGAGTTCTATAATTGGAATTAGAGCGGATTTTTATTTTTCTTTCTTTTTTCTTTTTTTTGTTTTGCCATTTTGCTTCTTGCTGTTCGTCAAAATTGATAGGACAGTTCATTCTAATGTAACTGAAATTGGTGTGATGCCTGCCACCGTTCGTTTTGCTAACCTATGGCTATCGAACTTTGGCCAGCGAATTTCCATTACTAAGAAGCTTCAATTAAAAATGGCAAACTTAATTATGTCGTCTACTTATTCAAGAATTAAATGACATAGATTACCCCTTTGAGTTAAACTCTTTAGATCTGGCAAGCTATGCTAAATGAGGTCATTGAAGGAAATAACCATATACACAACGACAATAATATTATTATTACAAGCTATACCTAAAAATAAAAAGAAAGAAAGAATTGTTCTCTCTGTTTTTCCCTTATTTAATGTGAATTTCTACAGTAACCTAATCGTTAAAGTGAGAGCTTGCCTTAGACTCATTACGATATTCCAAATATGTTTACTATTTTTCAAATGAAAAGTAAATTGTTTCATTCTTTTGCTTCAATTCTTGTAGACTATCGTAACTTGTCGTAAAATTAAATGATATTCTCAAACACAGGACTATATTCCTATATTCATTAACAAATCTACAATATGTTTGTTTATATTCTGATTTTACACACACCTCTAATTCTAAACTCTCTTTACCCTTCTCTGTCACATCCATGATGCCAATTGGCAAACGTCGCACCAACACTTTGAACTTTTTAGGTCTTTGGAAGAGTTACTACAGATCATACTGCTCCAATCTTGAAATCGGATCCTATCTTTACTGGCGCTAAGTGGAGATATAACCCTGCATTGAAAATACCGAATTTACGCAAAACCTCATTCGTTCAATCATATCATCTCAATCAGTTTCCAAAACCACATATACTGTCTAATTGTTTATACTGTCTAATTGTTTATACTGTCTAATTGTTTATACTGTCTAATTGTTTATACTGTCTAATTGTTTATACTGTCTAATTGTTTATGCCAACTATTGCTCTCTTTATTGTCTTGCTGTGTTCGTCTTTCCCATCTATCTCAAGTGCCTAGCAACTAACAACTAAAATGGTTAATTATTGCGCTCTTGTTTTAAAATGACAATTGCTTAAAACTTCACTTGTCTGACAAAGCATATATGTCCTAAAAATTCAAATGTCTGAAGTCCAAGTTGGGAACTAAGTGGTTCTGCAAAAATAGGTATCCCGTTGAACCTTTGATTTGGTAACCATCTACTGGATATAGTTATGTTGCAAGACAAATTTACGTATAATAAACTGTTCAAAAGCAGAAAATAAAAAGAAACAAAAACCATCTGAGGTGACTATCAACTGTCAATTTTATCATTAATAATGTTAAAAAATGTACTAAAATTGGGACTCATTTGCATCTCGTTTATTACCTCTTCTGATCTTCTTCCAATTGAAGTTGTCACACGAAACATTCTGAAGTTTACATGGGGGTTTCTTTGTTTTCTTTTCTTTTTCTTGATTTCATAAGTATCTAAGAAATGTAAGAGACGACAGCGAAAATCAGTTAAAAATAGTGAAATCTTGGTTCCAACTACGATGGGATCTTTAAGGCTCATCGACTTTTAAAGTTTGAACAATTGAATACCTAGCATACATGAAAGACGAGGTGAGTAAACGACAAATGGTTCTAAATGTAATTTCAAAAATTGATCTTTATGCATTATTATTGTCGATAATATCTTGTTAATTATGAAATTATATTATAATGATTTCAAGAATAATAAAATAAATAATACATATGTGTATTTAGATAGATTACAACGGTCAGGGTTGTTATTTCTCGTTTCTAAATTGTAAAAACAATTATAAAAAAGTGTTAGCAAAAAACTTTTGAATTATAATTCATTAATTGTTTATTTTATTCTTTTTTCCAGATTATAATTGTTGTAAGTTCTCTTTTTTGAACAATGACATTGATATGTTGTTGTGAGGAGACACTGAATCCGATTATAGCATGTTATAGTAACTTACCTAAATTAATTTTGTCTTAATGATTAGTACTTTACTCTGTCACCTTGATAATCCGGTAATGTATTAATACATCTATCAGTTAAAACTGTTTCCCTTTTTGAATAAATGTTGTTAATCTTGTTGTAGGTGGGCAAATTTAGGCTGCTTGACATTTCATAATCTACAAGAACTACTGGAACTTTGAACGTCAGTATAGTCTTCTTTTTAAAACTTGTTTTCAATGGTTCCGTGGATTCGACATGTAACATGGTCAACTGGATTATAATTTTATGTGTGATTTTTAGCCTGGCTTTGTTTTCTAATTTAGTACTTTTCTCACAGTAAAACGGTTTAACAAAATAGAACCCAACTTTTTTGTTATTTGAACTTTCTTTCATGGAATTTTCATCGAATATAGCTAAGTTATTAATTTCGAAAACATTATATTCGTCGAAATTAGGTTCAATATCCTCTGAATGTAAAATTACTTCCATTTTTTTAACGTATGACGTTTTCATTGGTTTTTTAGTTGATCGATCAATACATGGAATTGAACTAAACTGTGCTAGGCTGACTACAAGTTTAGATATACAGAAATTTTTCATTTTCTTCACTATTTGAAAGTTCAATTGGAATTCACTTTCTTTCAAATTATTTGGACTTGCAATTACAAGCATTTTTGAATGCAAATATATTTCATAGTTCAATTGATCATTGAAATTTTGGTATAATAAATCATTATTTATATTATTATTCTTTGAATCGCAATGTATCCTTTGCCATTCACCTGCTAACTTTAGTGGTTCATTTCTTAAATAAAAGCTATCAATAGGCAATGCGCGTTTAACAGTGACAGCATCTGTTAAAATAATGGTATCTGAATTATTTGATTTCTTAAAGTTCTTCAATATTTTGATGTAACTTTCGATTCTATATAGTGTAGATCCGAAATATGAACAATTGGATGCTGGGAATTTATTTGGTTCTATTTTAAATTCAAAAGGGAACTCATAAATTCCATTTGTAAATTTCAAAAAGCTTGATGAAATATTTAAAATTTCTAAATGTATTATAGGTTCAAATTTTGTATTTGAATCGTTTTCGAATAGTTTGATATTATTTTTATTATGTGAATTATTTTTTTTATCTGGATCGACATAACACACATATTCATTTGAATAACATTTGAAATGGACAGATAATGACTTTAAAAACAATGGGTGCTTTAACTTTTCATTAAAAACGTTTATCTTAATCCTACCGGTCAATGACACAGGAGCAACTTCATCGTAAAAATATTTCAGATAATTACTATGTACTGAATTGGGACTAGAATTGGAATTGGTACTGGAATTGGGACTAGAATTGGAATTAGAGTTGAGACTGTTATCAACGTTGAAGATTGCCTCTGGAGAGTCAAAAAGTGAAGAAGTAGAGAAAGTATCATATATTGAGGCGTTGACACTATTTCGTACTGGTAAATCTGCTATAAATACTTTTGAAGAGCCATGATCTAGTATGAGTTCGATTGAATAACCTTCATGATCATTATTTGTTTTATTAATGCATGGATTTGATTTTAACTCAAGTGGATTGTATCTATACTCGAAGTTACCTGTGTCGTTTTTAATTGTAGTTCCACCATGTTTCAAATTGTTCAATTTGATTATTTTAATAGGAAGTTTATTCTGGGGAACATGTTTACTTTTAAAAAATTCAATCTTGGCTTGTACATCATGAAGGTTAGCATCTTTATCTTTAACTTTGTCTTTACTCTTATTTTTATTTTTGCTTCTGTGTATTGGATTAATGAGAGTAAGTTGTAAATTCTTTGATTTCAGATTTTCTGTCGTTAAATTATCATTTGATTCACTAAATGAGACAGAACTGACTTCAAATACCATTATACCTCTTTAAATGGACCAGATGAATAAATCAGTATCTAAACCAAAACAATGAGTATCGATCCACCAAAGTTCTTATTAATTCAGTCACTAAAAAGTATATACTTTTTGTTGTTGTAGGTCTTTATAGTATTCTGTTATTGAATATATAATGCTGACAAAGGGGAGAAGAGGGGGGTATCGTATTCAACAAAGAAACAATAAAACTAGTTTGAACACAACTATACAACAAAAAGATATAAAATATATAAGTATATATATTGTATGACGTAGTTCTCTTTTAAACACTGAACTAAAACTATCAGATAAAACGATAATAAGCGGCTATTGTGGAATAATATACAGATCTGGAAAGTGGGGGAATGAAAGAGAAACAACTACTTCTAATACATCATGTCATTTCTTTTATATAGCACTGTAAAAAAGAATTAAAGGATTAAAAACTACAAATGAAAAGTTACAAGTAGATCAACATTTGTGTCAGTGACAGGATCAAACGAATAAAAGAACATCGATCAGCAACAAGAACCAACTTTAGTCAACTTGTATTAACAAGACAGAATAGATATTTACTCTGCCTCTTGATCCATCAAGAACATTACTCCTGAATCATAAGATAGATGGATATAGTATTACTTGATTTGGGATAATACAAGTGCAATAGAATCTTGTTTAAACTAGGAACAAGAAACCATACGGTTTCTTTTTAATTGTTGATTCAAACATTAACTCTACAAGAACTAGAACTAGAACTAGAACGATAACTGGTGATTGATTGATGAATCAAGAAGATATCAGATTCAGTGAACAAGAAAAGCATATTTGGGGTATTCGTTTCTTAACTCTATTGCATTGCAGAATACCTTATTTAGTAATCATAACTATCCCTGTCACAAGCTACACAACTTGTAACTTGTAACTTGTAACTTGTACAACTGGAGATTGAAATTATAAGTATGAGTATGATTATAATTATGATTATGATTATTGTTAAGATCATGAACATGATTGTAAATAAAGAAGATAACTTCAATGACAAGAGTCAATGCACTTCCACTTATAGAACAATGTTTAATGATTTTCGCCAATAAGAAACGATTAAGTGTACCTACGAAAACAGAATAAGCCTCTCAAGACGTGTGGTTTGCTGTGATTACGATTTTTAATCATTAATCAACAGAATAATGTGGATAACTTTATAGATATCGATTGTAACTTAACAGCTTGTGCCGTTCATATTCACTTGCTGTATGGAACTCAGAACTGAGAATTTCAATTTGTATAATTTCATGCTCTATGGATCTAATGCATTTCTTGGTCTTGGATATTGTTTAAACGGTGATGTGATTCAGCGCCACCTGTGTTCCCACTTTCCACTTTCCATTAGTTCCCTTTCTTGCAAACTTGATCTCTTATCACATTCTCATCTCATCTCATCTCATCTCATCTCATCTCTTTTCTGTCATGGTATTGTTACCTCTGCTGCGCTTCTTTCTTAGACTGAAAAATTTTTTAGATGCGATGAGCTCTAAAATTTTAAGTTTTAGTTAATATCAACACACTCACTACATCAGATGTTATAATATACTTATACAAGTAGAAGGTATAGTTGTACATATATATACCTTATCAAGTGTCTGCTATTTGAACTGCTTTGTAGTCAACTTCTGTGGGACACGCTGTAGTCGTTTTTATTGTAGTTGTTGTGTATTCAATATGGGTAAAGCTGTTACTTCCAAGAACAGGAAACAGAGACATGATCCATTACTGAAAGATCTTGATTCTGCTCAAGGTACTTTGAGGAAAATTCAAGTGAAAAAGGCTAATGGTAAGAATGATGACGATGATAACGAGGATAATGGTGAGGATTTTGTAGATTCTAGAGCCTCTAGAAAGATTTTGCAATTGGCTAGAGAACAACAAGATGAAATTGCAGAGGAAGAAGGTTTAGAAATTGAAAATGCAAAACAATCCACTGCTAGATTCAAGCAGATTGATTACCAAGATGATGACGATGATAATGATGATGATGAGGAATATGATGAAAATATCTCTGATTTTGATCCAGAAGGTGAGTATCTAGAAGAGGAAGAAGAATTGGTGGAAATTGATGAAGACGATGCAGCTATGTTCGAACAATATTTTAAAAAATCTTCTGACTATAACTCTGTCTCAGGTAGTTATAACTTGGCTGATAAGATCATGGCCTCCATCAGAGAAAAAGAATCACAAATGCAATTCTCCGAAAATAATAGTCAGGATCCAACTTTTTCTGCTTCAGGTTTAAGAACTGGTGAAGGTGTAGCTTTACCTGAAAAAGTTATAAGAGCTTACACTACTATCGGTACTATTTTGAAAACTTGGACTCATGGTAAATTACCAAAATTATTTAAAGTCATTCCATCTTTGAAAAATTGGCAAGATGTCTTATATGTAACCAATCCAGAAGAATGGTCTCCACATGTTGTCTATGAAGCTACAAAATTATTTGTCTCTAATATGCAAGCAAAAGAAGCTCAAAAATTTATTAATCTAGTCTTATTGGAACGTTTCCGTGCAAATATTGAAGATACTGAGGACCATACTTTGAATTATCATATCTACCGTGCTTTAAAGAAATCTTTATATAAACCAAGTGCATTCTTTAAAGGTTTCTTATTTCCTTTGGTTGAAATGGGCTGTAACATTAGAGAAGCTACCATCGCAGGTAGTGTCTTGGCTAAAATATCGGTGCCAGTTCTACATTCATCAGCTGCTTTGAGTTATTTGCTAAGATTACCATTCTCACCAGCTACAACTGTGTTTATTAGAATCTTACTAGATAAGAAATATGCCTTGCCATATCAAACTGTTGATGAATGTGTTTATTATTTCATGAGATTTAGAATTCTGGACGATGGCAGTAACGGTGACGACGCTACAAGAGTTTTACCTGTTGTATGGCATAAAGCTTTCTTGACATTTGCACAACGTTATAAGAATGATATCACTGAAGATCAAAGAGATTTCTTATTAGAGACAATTCGTCAAAGAGGTCATAAAGATATAGGACCTGAAATCAGAAGAGAATTATTGGCAGGTGAAAGTAGAGAATTTGTTGATGAAAACTCTAACAATGACGGCTTGATGATAGATGTCAATTAGATCACATATATAAATCATTTAAATATTAAATACAATGTACAATAGCACAAAGGTAATAGATAAATTAATTTAAAATAAGCATTTTTCTTGTGGATCAGTCAATCATATGTACTTAAATTAAAGATTCGTGTATATGTTATCTTGCTTTGGAAAGAAAGAATACAACTCAAAAGAATATACATAATTTTTATTTTAATTACATACATTATGCAAATTATCTATTTAAATATTTATGGTCTTCAAGTTGGACTAATAGACAATGTAGATATGGATAACATTTCTTGAAGGTGACTTGAATTAAGTATTATGCTTACAGTGCTGGGAAGATCTTTATGATAATATAAGTCAGTATCAGACCTAAAATCATAAATAGACATACTGTGATATAGAACAAATATCCCAGCTTGGTTTTGTCATATGACTTTAATTTCCCACTGATATCTGTAATACTTCTAGATGCAACTTGAACACCAACCTCAGCTGCACCCAATACGTTTTTATCTTCATCCAAAGCATTTTGGAAAGCTGACGCACCTTGTTTCAAACCTGATACTAATTTCGTCATATCCTCAATTAAGCTGACTTGAATATTCTCATTATCTTCAATTTGCTTCTCAGCAGACTTATCTAAATCTTCTGCAGTTGGTTGTCCACGTTTACCCAATAATCTTTTCCTTAACTCGGATAATTCTACATCATCTTTCTGAGCATTACAAGTTCCATCATTCGATATACTTTCCATTGAGATTATTTCCATGTTTTTATCATCAACAGTTTGGCCGGCAGAACCTGTCTCTGAATCAAAATCAACACTGTACCTTCTTCTTCTAATAGACTCTTGGTAATCAACATATTGATGCTTTAATTTTGACAAGGAATCATGTTTCGTTAAAGAAGAATTGAATTCTGCTGATTTGAACTCATTTTGAAACTTTTTAACCTCTTCATTTCCTAAATTATTTTCAAGGAATTGCCTTCTTAAGCTATTCAAATTATTTTCCAATTTAGTACTTAACAAATAATTCAAAAAAGTATCGTCGCCATTTAACGTATCACAACTTTTACGAATATTTCCACCCAAAACTTCCGACATGTCAAATAAACAGTTATGCTATCTATAATTAATGTCAAATTGAGTCCAGATATCTATTTCAGAGACTCTTTCCAACCACTTGATACAGTTTTTGTATTGATCAATGTGGCTTTTAATAAAGGAAAGTTCCACCACTTTTAACTTAAAGAGCTTTAAATTATTCAATCTTATAATCAGTCATTGTTGACGAAACTGATATCAATAAATGGCTTATAAGAATAAATTGGTGAAGAAATTAGGTAAGCTTGATCAGTAACGAACAGTATTAAATTGAACTTGTTTTGATCTTTGAAGGGCTATCTATCGATCTATTGATCTATATTAGGTGGCGTCGATATATTTCATGGGAAATTTACCATAAGATAAGTGTAACCAAACTATGGCAGATGTTGAAGGCCCTTATATGAACCAGGAACAGAATCCAAAGAGAACGAAAAGCAATCAGGATGAAGCAATATTGATAGACAGTGATCTAGATGACCATCTTGACTTTTCAGATGGTAGTGATTCTGATATCTTACAACTTGATGGGAGGACACAGGATATTGCACATAACAGCAGCAATGGTGAGGTTGTTGAAAGTGTCGATATTAGTAATAGGAATGAAAGATATGATGAGCATACCGAAACAGCTGTACAGATATCAAATTCAGGTAATGATTCAGCTAATAATGATGATATTACTATAGTCAGGGAAATAAATAGGAGTCCTCGTCGAGAACGAAGAAATGAAAGTGTTACAGAATACGTTGATTTGGATCATGAACCCGAAGATGTTGAACCTATAGGGACATCTAATTTAGATGGAAGAAGCAGTGGTAGCAATGTTAATGATAGAGATCGTAATAATAGCAATATTGATGACTTGATAATTATAAGTGAACAGCACCCGCAACCATCTGCAAATTCCATATTTTTGACTATTCCTGGGCGTCAATTAATGGAGCTGCAAGTTGCAAGCACAGATATTCCCACGAGAAGCTCTTTTGAATATCAAAATGATAGAAGGCCTGTAAGGTTAGGAAATAGTGGTCGCCCTCGGATAAATAGGCAATATATGCAGAATTCATTCAGTAGAGTACGGCGTCAACTTTTAGGTATTCTAAGAGTGCGACAAAGTAATCCAGAGATTGACGAAATCGCAAGAGAAATTAGTTTATATCATACAAATATTAGGAGTGCGTTTATTCATGCAAATTCTTTCAATGAATTTATGGCAATTATAGAAGTTGCGCCTAGATTGGGGATTACAGACGATTTAGTTGATTTGTATTTAAGGTTGGAAGATTTGAGGAATCGTACACATCAAGCTAATAGTTTGTTTGTACCAGATATTGATAATATTTCTTCTAATTCAGAAACGACAAGATATGACGAAGGCTGGAATCCTGTCACACATCCAGTAACAAATAGATTTATAGAAGATAGTTTCCATTCACCAATGATCCGTCGAATTTTTGGGAACTATGGTGGCAGGCACCATCAAGACTATGATGATGATGACGAAGAAGGTAGAACACAAAGTATAATAACGATGATTCAGGAACGTGAAGAGGTAGAAAAGGATTTAAGAACCAAAAAATACTCTGAAAGTACTAAAGAGAAGCAAGATGAGTTTGAAAGAAGGGCAACAGAATTACCTGATGGTTACAGTTCTTCATTCAACACGGAACCAAAGGCAAAAGTCGATATGACAAAGAATGGTGTCAATGGATCAGTCTCTGTTGTAGACGATACTATGGCTGAAGATTGGGAAGAGATTCCGATTTGTTGTCTATGTGGGGTTACGTTAAGTGAGGGCATTCCAGATGAATTTCAAGGTATGAGCAATGAAGACCGTTTCCTTCCATTTGAAGAATTGAAAGAAAAATATGATTCATTCTGTCCATATCAATGTCTGATAAGGCCATCTCAATCTGATCGTGATTTCTCTAAAAGAGTTTATGTAGCAAATTGTGGGCATACCTATTGTGGTAGGTGTTATCGTAGGATACAGAATTCGAAAGAAAAGAGTAAGTTACCAAAGTCCCAGTTAGCAAAATTAAAAGGAGCATGCCATCCTGACAATTATGGACCTAAAAAATGTCCAGTAACAAGTTGTAATCGATTACTGCGTATATCGAGAGGAGTTGCATTCAGAGAAGCATATTTCTGAAATGTTAAGGATAAAAAATATCGATTATAAAGGGATCAGTATGCATATTTATGGATACTATATTTATTATTGTGATATTTTACCGTGATGATTCAGTTTCTTTTATCACTTATTTACACAAGTCATATATATTATTCGTTAAAACGATTAGTATTGAGAATATCATTGAACATATGTAGGATATATATATATTTATATATATCAACTATACATATCTAATTAATCATATTAATTATTATATTACATGGCCTCTTTGTTTCATAAAGTGTCTTTTGGGATGCAGAATTGGAAGTTTGGAATAATCTGATTGTTTAGATGAATAAATTCAAAGTAAATAAAACACATAATGCAGCTAAACAAGCTGTCATACAATCTTCATTACCTCTCTGGGGAGGAGCTTGTTGAACATATATTGGTTGTTGGGGTTGTTGTTGATAGTACTGTGGTTGTGGAGGCTGTTGATAATACTGGGGTGGAGGCTGTTGATAGTAGGGCTGTTGTTGATAATAGGGTTGTTGTTGTTGATAGTAAGGTTGTTGATTATAACTCTTTGAAGACATGTTAGTAAGATACTTGAGAAACAGTAAAGACTAGTTGCAAACAAAAAAAAAAGAAGGAAGAGGTCTAACCTAGTTATTAACAGAGTGTCAAATAAATAAGTCGATGCTCAGTAAACGTACCATATATGTAGATTCTTAAATCGATGAAATAAGATGATGTGTTTTTCAATTTATAAAAGTAGTTTTAAAGTTAAAGGATACCGATGCTATCTCAGTATTTTCCTTTTTGGTGATTTATGCAATTTAACAAAAATGCAAGTAACTATGTATACTTTGGTGTCTATTTGAGTGTAGATTATCACTAATATAGGTATATAGATAAGATAGACATTATGTGAGGTGAATCTGAGGACATGTGTATGTGTATGTGTGTCTATATATAATTAATTCCATTAGATCAAAAAATAAAAAATATCATCGATATATCCCTGAAGGAGATAAAATTCACCTCAAAACATGGTGAAAGGGTTGACCCTCCCTAAACAAGTTGCCCTGAAGCTGTAAGAATCAAGCACTGACAAAACAGAAGACGATGGGGAGATCAAGAAAACAATATTGATACGCCTACTCACAGTCATAAATATAACTATATATATATATATATATATATATATAATATGTATTTACAATCATGAACCAAACCAAGCCAAATTTATTAGTTGTGATATCAGTCTTGTTAATATTGCATCAAAGTTTACATGTATTGGTTGGCTTTGAGGTATAACAAACAGTGATAAGAATTGAATGGACATAAGTAAAAACGTCCAAGCCCTAACCAGTAATTTATTAACTGATACGATATATGGCTTAAAGGCCCAGTTGCAAGTTATATACTACATTAACAGTTTTTTTCATAAAAACCTTCCCATCTTTCTTTGATAAGCCATTTATTTATTTGCAACCATGTCATTTCTTGTAGCTGTTATTTATAGAAGTCTATTTCGAATGGGGCAAGACTTGGCCAAATAAAACATCCATTCTTGATCTCATAAGATTTTACTTCTTAATTGTGCAACTTCTACAATCAAGAGGGTCTGTCATTAAACACATGGAATCTTAAATTCAAGAACAACATCAACATTGTTAGATGAACAACTGGCTTGTTCATTCCAAATATTGTGTCTTTTTAATAACAATTCGATGTTTTTACTTTTGGTATTGCTGGATTCCATCAGATTAGTTGATGTAATTTTTAACAAGCGACAATACATCGTAGCAAATTGTACTAAAAACAAGTTTCGAAACTGTTATTTGCAGCTATAAGATAAACCTAAACACATCACTATATGTTGCTTGCATAGGAATTATTCTACATTCATATATAACATCAGAGGTCTTGAGATTGTAATCTAATCTAATTTAATTTAATCTAACCAAGTCTGTTGTGGTCTTCCTGGCTGAATCCACTCCTGTCTATAGTTCATTTCTGGAAAGAAGTTGATGAAATCTTGTCTGTTTCTAAATCTGTCTGTTTCTCCTTCAACACTCGATATTTTTAACCTTGCAGGTCCCTAGATCGTTCCTGTTAAAATGCATTCTTGGCCTTATTCAGAAGATAGATCGAAAGACAAAAAAATTTTACGTTCATTTCAGCCCATCTGTCAATTGCTACTAAATTTGACATCTGTAAAAGGTTTGATTCGGTAGATTGAACTATAGGAGGTTAGTTATTTTTATCGTTTGCCTGAAGGGTATCTATATATTTATATATTTATATGTATTTATATATTCATTTGTTTAATTATTTATATATACTCGGATATCACATATAGCAACAGAGAGGTGTATAAAATACTTTTGTTTTAAAAGTTGGTGTGTTCAAGGTGATTGCAGTTTAGTTATAGTTATTGGTTGTTATTTATTTTTTTTGCTTGCTTCTTTCTTCTAGAATTCATATCTTTTTAGTTTAGAATTAGTGGGTGAACGAAGTATCAATCGATTTTTTGAGTTTAATTTTTAGTGTTTTATTATAAGCAATTTCTTTCAGTTTTGGTTTGATTGTTTACCCATTATTAGTTTTTTCTATTTATTATTTTTTTTGGCATCCTTTGCATATATTATATTGTATTATAATTAATTTTATTGTACCTTGGCATCAAAAAAATTTTTCACTTCACATCAGGTACAGCATCTTTAAATTGGCTAGGTAGATAATTTTATTTGATTTTATTCATTGGTAGTGGAAGTTAAGTAATTGATGGTAATGATTTCTCGACGTTTCTCCAGAGTAGTGAAATTATCTTTATTATTTTCTGCAATTGTGTCAATTTTTTTGATCTCTCAGAGTTATAGTAATAGAAACGTTGCGAAATCAGTAACTGAGTACAAAGAGTATTTACAACTTTTCATTAACCAAGAGCAAGAAGAAGCTCAGCAGACTGGCATACATGATGAAGTAGGTCCGAATTCAAATAGCAATAACAATGATAACAGGCATATAGAAGGCACCATCACTAGTACGAATACTAACACTAATACTAACACTAATAATAATAATAATAATAATAATAATAATAATAATGATAATAATAACAATAATGATAATGATAACGACAATGATAAAGAAAAGGAAAATGGTAAAAAGAAAAATCCAATTCAAATTAATTCAATGTTAGATGAACACTTATCGACTGATTCAATCCAAGATTTAGATGAAAATACAAAATCATTAAAACAATTCTATGGTAGAGTTTTTGAACTTATTCAAGCTCATTCACCACTTGGGAAATCAAAAAGAAATTATAAAGAGGCATGTCTATTAAATGGTGACATTGGTGACAGACCTGAGTTTTATGAGGTATGGTATAAATTATCGATGAAAGAATTAGGAAACTGCTTGGAGATATCAAAAGCAGAAATGTCAAAACTAAAGGCAAAGCATGCAAAATACATAGCAGATATCAGCTCTTTGTCATTACCAAGAAATAGTTTTAGAGGCAAAGGTATCGTCATTGTTGGTGGTGGGAAATTTTCTTTACTGTCATTCTTAATCATCAACGCAATTAGAAATCAAGGCACTACATTACCAGTTGAAGTCTTTATGCCAAACGATAAAGGAGAAGATGCAGAATTTTGTAAGTTATTGCCAGAATTAAATGCAAAATGTATATATTTATCGGATGTCTTGCCTGAAGAAACTATAGATCAATTCAAGTTTGGGGGTTATCAATTTAAATCAATTGCGCTTTTGCTTTCAAGCTTCGATGATCTATTGTTATTAGATGCTGATAATTATCCAATTAAGAATCTTGATGAGATTTTTACTAAGGAGCCATATAAAAGTACAGGTTTGGTACTATGGCCAGATTTTTGGAGAAGAACTACTACTCCATTTTATTATAAAATTGCTGGCATTACTGTTAATTCGAAAAAAAGAGTAAGAAACTCAATTGATGATATTACTCCACCAGAAGTATATACGGAAAATATGGGAAATCTAGTTAACGTTCCATTGCATGATTTAGAGGGTTCGATACCAGATGGATCGACTGAATCTGGACAATTGATGATCAATAAATCTAAACATTTAGCAACTATATTGTTATCATTGTATTACAACGTCAACGGTCCCAATTGGTATTATCCTATGTTTTCTCAAAAAGCTGCAGGTGAAGGTGATAAGGAGACATTTGTTGCAGCTGCAGTTTTCAATAAATTGCCTTTTTATCAAGTTAAAACTAATACAGGTGTAGATGGATATCATCAAGCTGATAATAAAGGTTTTAGAGGGGTTGCAATGCTTCAATTTGATTTCCATCAAGATTATTTGAGATATAAAAGAGCTAAAGAAGCAATCGAGTACCAATACCAAGATAAAAATTTAAGGACCTATGATAAGAGATACTCATTAAATGATTTCTACAGAAAATATATAATGATTAATGATGATAGAAATGGTGGAACTAGTGAAGCTGACGTTATGTTTGTACATTCAAATTTGCCAAAATTTGATCCAGTTGGACTATGGCGAGGCCAAGATCTAATTGAGCATGGAAAACATATTAGATCTTTCAGGAACTTACAAAGGTTGAATAATTATGATATTGAATTAGAAAATTTCACCATTTTTTACAAACACTTATGTTTGAAGAGAAGATCATTCAAATATTTAGAGGATGAATTAGGTGACAATGAAGAAGATTGGAAAGATATGTGTAAATATATTAAGGATAGAGTCACTTTTCTGAATATGTCACATCAAAGAGCCATTACACCTAACACCGATTAGGTGAAAACAGTTGATGCGATACATATAGAGCATCGTTTAAAAAATAGCATTAATAAGGACGTTTAATAATTAAAAACAAGGCTGGAAATTTTAGTATTACAGTTATTATATAGTTTGAGCATTCGTAATTCATTTTAGATACATGTCCTTATGTATCATATAATAAACAGGATATGTCTCATTTCAATTCACATGGTTTATCTTAAATAGACGATTTATTAGAACTTGAAACAATCTTAGGAGATCAGTTAGTGATACGTGTTAAAAATAACAAAAATATATGCTTCCAACCAGAGTCGAACTGATGATCTCCACATTACTAGTGTGGCGCCTTACCAACTTGGCCATAGAAGCTTTAAAAGTTGAAATTTTATGGTAATGGTTTTGAGGTAATCCTAATAATTTTATAGGTCCGGGTAAGATAGTTAATAGCAAGATATTGTTTAAGGCAAGTGCAACACATCAGGTCAAGTAATTGTCAGACCAGATAGTAAGATACTTAATGTCACAATAAGGTGGTCAGATGTATATTTAATTGTCAGAATTATGAGGTAACACGTGATCTAAACGTATTACGACATTATTCATATAGGATAAAGAAATGTTACTTTACACGAAAGTATTACTGACGCTGAAAACTTTTCCAACACTGTATATAAGAAATGATGAGATCTTAATTGACACTTATCATATGTACTATATTCCCAGGTGTATATTTTATACTTTAATACACCGGATCAATATCAACTTATTAAGAATGTCCTTGCAAACAACTAAACAATCTAATACTATTAACGATTCTGTAAAGAATCCACAACCCTCTGATTCTCTACAATTATGTTGTAGTTTTTCTACCGAATTATTCATTTTAGTAATTTAATTTAAGATGATTTTGAAGCAATATTTATATTTACTTCTCTATTATGTCATAAAAATGAACTAAATAAATATATATTAATACCTCAAACAGATGAAATTTAGATATTCCAAAATATCATGACCATTTATAAGTTTAGATCCAATCTCATAATATTAATTCCGTCATCTCAATATCCTCTAATTCTATAGGTACATTACCTATATTTTAGGTTACCACATAAGGGAGATGGAAGAGAACGGAAATTATATAAATAGACAAAGGGTTATAACATAAATAGGTACATTAGTAACACTTTATATAGAGTTGTCATTTAGGTATAATAAGACAAGTCGTACTCTGTGAACAAGTGACACACACTGTAAGGGTTTGCATTACATCATTTTGTAGGATAGTAACCCCAACTAAAAGTGCGGTTACAACTAATGAATGAGACAACGTGGGTAATATTGATCAACGTGGGTGACAGGAAATATAAAAGAAGTGTATCAGCAAATACTGAAAGTGGTTGCAAACTTATGAAATCAGAGACATATAAAAAGGCCAATTAAGTTAAGGTTTGGATACTTTAAAATGTATACGAAAATAGAGTTTAGATATATAGAAAATAGAAAGAAGTAAGCTTAAGAGTATTCAATTTAACCGGGATCACATCAGGGATTATATACTCACTGGCTACATAACAATTATGGTTATATAGTAACGATATGAAGCCTGATGTGATCCTTACTACTTTGTTGATAGACAAGCTTCAAGTTTTTCGTAAGTCGTGTCCTTGTTAGTTCATTTCTAGTTCTTAGGAGAATAGCTTTTTGTTGTCACCAATTCTCTGGCTTTCTCAGATCTGTAAGAATCTCTCCCCTCTATTATGAATGATGGTGCTGTTGGCTCTTAGCCCAAATCTGCTAGAAATGGGGAAATGATTATGGCTAAATGTGGTGACGAATCGTAAGTGAACTCTAGGATAGGTAACTCCTGATCCCAGTTAATAGGGTTGGAAGCGCAATATCGCATTAACAGGGCTTTAAGTGTACCGTTTAATCTTTCATTGAGTCCGTTTGTTTGAGGATGGTTCGAGCTTGATTTGCTGAAAGTAATGCCAGATCTACCAATGGCCTATTTGTAGAATTCGCTGTTGAAACGAATATCTCTGTCACTGATAATTGTTGACGGGAAACCATGATATTTGAATACCTTGTTTATCAATAGTTCTAAACAGTCTTTCCCGTTCATTTCTACTGACGTCGGGATGAAATGACCTCTTCGTGTTAGATGGCCAATGACTGTTAAAATCATATCGTTACCTTTCGTTGTTTTGGGTAGACCCGTAACGAAGTCGATGCCCAGTCTGTCCCATCTTTTGATTGGGGGAGGAAGTTGTTGCAAAGGTCCGTAAGTAGGTCTACTTCTTTGAGCCTTTTGGCGTATGGGGCAGATTGGAACTTATTTCTTGACATCCTGGAATTGTCCAGGCCAGTACGACAATGTGACCACTTTGAGGAAGTTTTGAAAGATCAAATTATTAACCCCATCATAAGGCTGACTAAACAAGTATTTTGAGTTGTGGGAACCAGGTACCGGGTAGGTATATTATTCATTGTTACTGTCAGGGGCGTATGTGTCTGGGGAGCACTGAAGGACATGATTGGTTAATCTTATATTTCTAAATTTCTATGATACACTAATGTACATTATTATTTTATTATACCTATGTATTTCATATTATTCTTTTATATCTATGTGTTTCATATTACTTTTTATTTTAAGTTTTACTACATAAATGAACAATCACATTATTGACCAATATGCAACGTCATGTACTGGACTTGAATGTGCAATCATAATATCATCCGTCTTAAGCAGTCTGTTATGCAACGTAAGTTCTCGTTGCAGTTCCGATCCGAGGGTGCCTGAGTTGGTGGCAGTTTCAACAATACAGCATTTCAATCTTCGAATTGGTCATTCCTGTACACGTAAAACTAAACAGTAGTCATTGTTTTGTTGTAGTTATAGTCCCATATTTAGTGGTCACATACATGGCTACTTCGATCCACCTCGCAACTTATTTCGTGGTCTTGTTGCCCAGTCGATCACCAGTGACATTGAAGTCACATCGCTAGCTTAACTGCTGGCTGGCTGGCGGCATATGCTAGCAGCTATAGCATGGACATCTATAGCTATATAGTTTATATACTATCAACCACAACATGTATAGAGCGGTTATTAGAATCACATCTGTAAAAAATTTCATTGCTGTGGAATGTATTGGTGTGTCTGCTGTGTTCGGTGTGTCCTATATTTCCATTTTCTACTGTATATATACACTAACTTACTTCTTTCTATTATCTAAGCATCTAATCTAAACTCTAGATTCGTATACATTTTACAATATCCAAACCTTAACTTAGTTGGCCTTTTTATATATGCTTCTCCTTTCATGAGTTTGCAACCACTTTCAATATTTGCTGACGTTTCTTTTATGATTCGTTTCAAATAAGTAGTATCTTATAAGTTAATTGTAACCGCTCTATTAGTTGTGGTTACTATCCAATAAATCAGTGTTGCACTTAGAATGTATACTTGAAGAGAACCCTTTTTTTGGCTTTACAAAATTTTAGACCTATCTTTAGTAAAGAGACTCAGAATGGAATCATTTACAGCTACTATGAGTTATATATATATATATATATATATATATATATATTGATCCTCATTTTACGTTCACATAAAAGTTGTTTCGTTTTCTACAAATTAGCAATAGTACTAAGGCCTCCAAATGATCTTATGTATTTCCTGGAAGACAAAAAGGAAACAAATTGGTACTTAAATTAAGTATGTATTTAGAGTCAATACAAGATTAAAAAAATAACGAAAGTTATTCAGAAGATACAGTTCATTTTCTTTGATTTTTACTATGAAAACATGAATAATTGATCCTCTCTGGTAGTAAATAACCACAATTGCTTAATATAGACTACTAGTGAATCCAAACTATCAAACAAAAAGTGATGCTTTAAAAGGCAGACCCAGGGTTTAAAAACTATATCGATATCAAGAAATTGGATCTGCTTGAAATGGTTCAACTCTTTATATAGGAACCTCAGTGATTCTAGATGAAACTTTTAGATATTTCCAAAGTTACAAGATCATTTTAAGTTCCAGTGTAAAGGTAGAGAAGTTCCCGGTAAAAACTATAGCTAAATAAATATACTACTAACTAAAGCAATGAAGGAGAGAATGTGATTCAAGAGTGTACCAATTGACACATATGGGAAACTAAAAGTAATCAGATACAATTTTTGGCTTCAAAAAAACGAACAATTAGTCCTTTCCATATACCAGTGAAAGTATTCCCTCCACATAAACCAAGCTCCTCCAGCTGGAGGTGATCCCAGATAAAACAGCCATATCGAGGCAAGAGTATCAAATAGAAATCTTGATCCCATCTAATGAAGAAAGAAATACTTGCTATTATTCAAGACAAAACTAAAATTTGGCCTAGTCAATTAGACAAAGCAACAGTTAGAAGGGGAAGGTCTTTAAAGATAGGTAACATATCAACGAGCTTCCATTTTTTTTGCTCTTTTTGGTTCGTTGTGCTCTGGTCTGTAGGTAAATTTTTTTTTCACGAAGTTGCTGTCGTCAATTGTCCCTCGAATTGAGTGGTGTTACATCCCATCCACATCTACATCTACAGTACAACATTCTAACTAGAAGCATCAATTGATGCGATCAAACTGGATGATATGATATGGTATTAACAAGACAGTGAAATTTCGATTGCTCTTGGACATTACTTAGAAGTCCAACACGACGAATTCACAGTTCTTTTATTGCCTTTGGGTTCATCCCATCAACTAACTGCAATTGAATCAATTGAACGTGAACTGTCTGCATTTGTCAGTTTTTTTTTGCTTGTTCATTGATTACGTTGGTTCCCATTGCTTCAATGCAACTTCGAGTCTGTTGTTGGGCTGTTACACATACAAACTCACAATTACCTCTGTGAAGGTCCGTTAGAAAAGGTTGGGTCTTGATTTTATCGATGTAATTGAAGGTGGTGGTGGTGGTGGTTTTGCAATATTCGGTATGGTGTTGTAGTCTATCTCTACTTTGACGACACCCAGCTTTTAAGACCTTGCCTTGTTTCTAACTTCGTCTCTGCTCGTTTTCATTTTCGTTGTAGTTTTCGTCTTCTTCTTCGTTAATATTCATTCATTCATTCATTTATTCGATTTTTGGAATAGTTAGGACTTTGTTGTAATGCACTGAATGAAATTTTTCACTCTGATTTCGAAACGAGGAAAAATTGTATGCTGTTGTTGTCGTTGTTGTATATTTAATAGATTTTATTTTATTTTATTATTAGCAATTGAAGCTTTACAGGTCAAATTGATTGTCATATTTTAAGAATGATTTTTAGAGTTTAGTAGTTTTTAGTGAATTTTTTTTTTTGAATTGTTATTTTAATAATGGGTTCTTTGTTTTATTTCGTTTTTCATTGTTCTTTTGATATGAAGAAGAAGAGACTAGGACAGTAGCTAATATAAATTAAAACAAGATGGTTTATTCTACTAGACAAATCGGTGCCAAACACACCTTGGAATACAAATGTTACCTTGAAGAAGATGGTAAGCCAATTTCTCCATTCCATGACATCCCATTGTATGCTGATGAAGAAAAGCAAATTTTGAACATGGTTGTTGAAATTCCAAGATGGACTAATGCCAAACTTGAAATTTCCAAAGAAGAAAAAATGAACCCAATCATTCAAGACACCAAGAAGGGCAAATTGAGATATGTTAGAAACTGTTTCCCTCACCACGGTTACATCCACAATTACGGTGCATTCCCACAAACTTGGGAAGATCCAAACCACAGTCATCCAGAAACCAAAGCTGTTGGTGATGACGATCCAGTTGATGTTTTGGAAATCGGTGAAACCATTGCTTACACCGGTCAAGTTAAACAGGTCAAAGTCTTGGGTATCATGGCTTTGTTGGATGAAGGTGAAACCGATTGGAAAGTTATTGCCATTGACATCAACGATCCATTAGCACCAAAGTTGAACGATGTTGAAGATGTTGAAAAATACTTCCCAGGATTATTGAGAGCCACCAACGAATGGTTCAGAATCTACAAGATCCCAGATGGTAAGCCAGAAAACCAATTTGCCTTCAGCGGTGAAGCCAAGAACAAGAAGTATGCTATGGAAATCATTAGAGAAACCCATGAATCTTGGAAGCAATTGATCAGTGGTAAAGCTGTTGACAACAAGGGTATTTCTTTAGCCAACACTACATTAGGTGATGAATTTTCTATCAAGGATGTTGCTGAAATTCCAAGTGCTGCTCCAAAGGAAGATGCACCAATTGACAAATCTGTAGACAAATGGTTTTTCATTTCAGGTTCAGCTTAAAAAGGGAGACTTATTTAGGTGTATATAATTGGAAGCGTTTGAGCTTCTTTTTTTTATATTTAAAACATGTTAATCGATAAATCAGTCAGTCACTAGAATAGAAAACTGTGTTTCATGGCATGGCATGGCATGACAAGGTTGTTGAAAATGGGGATAGTATAAATAAATCAATGTAAACCAGACATATAATATTTAAAAACTAGTATACAGACATATTGATGATATATATATAATACATATAAACCCGAATTTAAAAAGATATTTTTATATGTAAAACAGAGATTAATAAAATCTAAACCTAAAACTGTTTAAGACAGTGGTAAATAATTAAAACAGAAAAAGAAAACCCTCCAATTAGAATAGAATAGAATGATGGAAAAAAAAGAATAAGTATAACTTATGATGAGACGAGATGTGGAAATGCGTGTGTATTAAGTTGGTTGGATATTGACACAAAAGGAATAGAGCATATAACTTATGATCTTTCACCTCTCAATCTTCTAGCCAACTTGATATCTTTCTTTTGGATAGTAACACGCTTGGCGTGGATAGCAGCCAAGTTAGTGTCTTCGAATAGAGAGACTAAGTAGGCTTCTACGGATTCTTGCAAAGCACCGATGGCGGAGGATTGGAATCTCAAGTCAGTCTTGAAATCTTGGGCGATTTCTCTGACCAATCTTTGGAAAGGTAATTTTCTGATCAACAATTCAGTAGATTTTTGGAATCTTCTAATTTCTCTTAAGGCAACGGTACCTGGCTTATATCTGTGAGGTTTCTTAACACCACCGGTAGATGGGGCAGATTTTCTGGCAGCCTTGGAGGCTAGTTGTTTTCTTGGAGCCTTACCACCGGTAGACTTTCTTGCAGTTTGCTTAGTTCTTGCCATATTTGGGAGGATGGATGAGTGTGTGAGTTTTTGTATTCTATAGTATGAGACAAGATATAAAACACACAAAAGATATAAGATATAAGATATACAAGAAGACCAAAGTACAAAAAAAATCTAAGAGAGACAACAGAGGGAAGAGAAAGAGAAAGGAGATAGTTTTGGAAAAGGGAATATCAAGTGCGAGACCGATCCGTTTATATACGTTTGGTTTGGTTTGGTTTGGTTTGGTGATGGGCGTATTGGATATATTGGGAAGATAACAGCAGGAAAAGGAAAGTCGCAATGAAATGCTATGGCCCCCTTCCCCTGTTTTTTGTGTGTGACTGTGTGAGAAAAACAGCTCAAAAAACAGCTGGAACGTGGCTCGACAGAGAGACAGACAGACAGGAAAGGAGCAAATCGCAAAAATATAATTTTGGGCTTTCTTCCATCCAGTGGGAACACCAGCAACACCACGACACCTCGCAGTAGACGTGCAAAGGATAACGAATCGCCATAATAAATCCATCAATTCTACTATGGACAGGTTTCAACGAGAGAGCGGCGCGAAAGAGTGGGAACAGCTTGAGTATGGCCAGTTGCGAAAGAACTGGAACAAGTGTTTGCAGTTTTTCCACTTTTTCTCGGCATGTCGCGCGCGTGTGGCGGCGACTCACAACACAATTCTTCTCGTTTGGCTGACTGTCTGTCTGTCCATAGTTAACGGGCGGTTTGTTTATCTGTCGAGTGAGTGATTCTGGAATGGTCATAGTGGGCTGGACTGGAATCAATCTCTTTATTATGGAGATTTGTCGGTTTGGAGTGGTGGGACATGCGAAATACTGGGAATGGGGAGAAAAGGAAAGGAACGTTAAGCAACGGTTGGCTGAAGTGGTTGCTGTTCTGTTGCAGCTCTCAATTGCATCTTTTCACGCTTACGCTTACACTCACACTCACACTTACGCTGAGGACTGGAGTCGATTCGATCTGGTTTGCGGCTGACCATCGACACTTTGATTCATATATAAAGGAAGACTGTTTTTAGGTTTCTCTTGTACCTTTGGAATATCTCGCTCTTGTTGGGACTCTCAGGTTGTTCTCGTTCTTGTTCCTCCTTATACTCCACAAAAGTATATACAACTTAACATAATAACAATACAACTCAACAAATATGTCTGGTAGAGGTAAAGGTGGTAAAGGTTTGGGTAAAGGTGGTGCTAAGCGTCACAGAAAGATTCTAAGAGATAACATTCAAGGTATCACCAAGCCAGCTATTAGAAGATTGGCAAGAAGAGGTGGTGTCAAGCGTATCTCTGGTTTGATCTACGAAGAAGTCAGAGCTGTTTTGAAATCCTTCTTGGAATCCGTCATCAGAGATGCTGTCACTTACACTGAACACGCTAAGAGAAAGACCGTCACTTCTTTGGATGTCGTCTACGCTTTGAAGAGACAAGGTAGAACCTTGTATGGTTTCGGTGGTTGATCTCATCAACATCAACATCTCTTCTCATCTCATCTTTTTATCTTCCTCAGCGAAAAAAAGCATTCAAAAGGGGGAAACGGGTCAAACAAGCATTCAAGGCAAGTGGTATTTTTCTTTTATTATTATTATTATTATCTCTTTTTATTTTATGTAATTTTTAATGGTTTCTCATCTCAGGTAGGAGAAAACTGGACTGGTATTTTCAAGATTGAATTGAATGCACAACAAAAGAATACGTATGGTCAGGATTCTAACCTATTGTTAAAAATCAAAGCACCTAATATATATATATATATTTATAAATATATGTATCTGTGTATGTGTATGTGTATGTGTATGTGTACGATACACTTTTGTATAATAAATTAACTAATTCCCATTATTTTTTAAACATCGTTCATTGTAGTCTGTTGTACCTTGCACAATACAAACACACTACCAATGGATATATATCTAGTCAGTGACTGTAAAAGTTTATTTATAAGTTCTTAAACAATTTCTGTTTTTCCAGTTAAGCTTCAAGTTGCAGTTTCGTACCACTCTCTCGATTAACCTCAACTGGCCAGGGTTGTGAGCTAAGCTAAAAAGCAAATAAACTGCTGATGCACATTTATTTTTATTTTTTGGCTACGAAAATTGCAAGATACTGTTGACGTATGTACAAACACATGTGTGCATAAATACATACAAACAGCTGGCTTTAACTGGACACACCACCAGTCACTCTTGGCTTGTGGTATCCCTTCCCTTCACGCACCCCTATATTGCCATTGATGGTATCCTCTCCCACCACAACCACACAAGAGAGAGCTGGCGTTTGGCCTGTAATGATGGGGGATGGGATGGGAGCCCAAGTCCATGCCAAAACAACATAGTTGTTATCGACTTCTTATATCATCAACACTAACAAGATAAGCATATCTATATATAATTACCTCTGCGTGCATTGAAGCTCTATGCAGCAAGAACCATTGATTAGGTATTTAGTGAGAATTGAATACACTTGTTCAGCACAAAAGTGGTAATTACTCTTGGATTTGGGGGAGGGACGACGTGTGCAAAAGAAGATGGTGATGGTGCATACAGGTTGGGTCACTCACAAGAACAAGAATTGGTTTGTCGTACTTATGCATATGTCGGCAATGGAGTATCATTTGGAGATACACCTACACCTACACCTACACCTACACCTACACCTACACCTACATCTGCACACTTAGGACGTGATATATAGCTATGCAAGTATACCATTTGCATTGATTTTTTGATATGGGGGTGGGTATGGCTATATATATATACCAGATGATGTAGAGGTGAATTGGAAGTTTGGCAATGACAATATTTCTCTTGTTGTGAAAAGGGGAAGAGCCAGAGGAAGGGTCTGTTCTGTTATAGGTGGGAGTGTATATATGCCATCCCATCCTGATTCGATGTGTTCTTTTGTCTTTGTCTTTGTTTTTGTCGTTGAAACTGGCAATTGCTGCCATCTTGGTAATTAAGCTGAGCTTGGTGTGAGAGACCTCATAAAGAGGGGAGCGCCCTCAGTCGGACGGCATCGTTGTGCACGAACAGTTGGTTTCTGAATTCGACGTTTCTTTTTTTTATTCTCTTCGCTAGCTGCATTTTGTGCGGCTGTTTGTCTGCGGTGTTCAGCAGAAGAAACGAGAAAAGAAACGAGAAAAAAAGGAATCAGCTCTCAGTGTGAGACACACACACACACATACAAAGAACGAAAGAACGAAAGAAAAGACCTGTAACTATTAAAACAATAGCAGCATGGTACAGCTCACTTACTCGAGTCTACATTCCAAACCAAAACCAAAACCAATACCGATACCGAGACTAAGACCCAAGCTTACGCTTACGCTAACGCTAACACTAACACTCAAACCAAAAACAGACCATTCCATACCGCACTCTCCCACTCTCCCACATAATAAAGCTTACTAAACCATCCACTTCGACAAGACCACACATACAGTTACTCTTACTCTTACTCTTTCTTACTCTACAATCAATAAACCAACTCACTCCCATTCAGCTGGCAAGCTCTTGTCTTGTCTCGAGCTCTCTGCTCGCCCTTCTGACTGAAAACATCACCTCTCTCTTCTTTTTGGAAATTTCAGCTCAAATTTTAAATCCAAAATTCTGAAAATTTAATATCCAGTGAGCTGATTGACTGTATACTAAAACCTGAACTTGAACTTCAACTTGAACTTGGACTTCAACTGGAACCTATAACCCATCCAAAACTTAAATTCATATCCACACTCAAGCTCAAACCCACTTTATTGTATTGTATTTTTGGCTTTCGAAGGGAATAAATTCTTTTTCATTACAATACTCTCCCAATCTGCAAACTACTATAAACCCTGCTCTCATCACAGCACAACACTTTTTTTAAACAATCATAGTATTAGTACACACTACAACTGATATATTCAAATTTTCTTTCTCTGTTGGTCTCTCTACCCCATTTACATAAATATATACTTGATTATATTTATGTACATTGTAAGAAGTTTAACCTTAAGTTTAAATTTAAATTTAAATTTAAATTTAATCTTTTAGAACAGCGAATATAATTAGTTTGACGTATTATACAACACATCAACAAATCACACACTCACGCATATATATATGCTCATA